GGCATAACTTTCGTAAACAACCTTGGATCGTTGGCTTACGCCGACTCGCAACCCGCGACTAATCCCCGATTTATAACATCTGGTGAAAACCTAAAAAGCAAGACAAGCTCGAAAAACAAGAAGCTGGCGGCATACTGTAGTTGGCTTACAAATCTCAGGGAAGACAATGCGATGACCTTCCGGTCATCTGTACACCCTGGCATGCGGTCCATTGGGCCCAGGTGTGTCAAGATTTGTCATAATTATCCATGTACGTTACCACACTGGTTGCCGGAAACGACCACTAGCGTTCCACCTTATTAGATGGTCAAGACGGTTTTCGAAAATTCTTGATGCGACACAAAAAGAACAGAGAAAATCATGTGGTTTTCTGTTGGATAATCGCTAATTTTTGGCCGCTACTTTGGAAGCCTGATCTTCTGCAAATCAACTTTTGGTGACAAGGTATTTGAGGCAAGGTTTTTAGGTGCTTGCTACGTAGCTCAAAGTAACAGACAACTACCATTTCGGCACTTCTAAGGGCCGACGAGCACGGGTGAACTGTTAATCCAGAATTGACCCGTGCTCCCCATTCAATGGCGATACAATAGCACCCGGGGGCAGCAAAGGGCTCTCAAATCAGCGCATCCAAATTAGGCGCCCCGGCCCAGGGCTAGGACTCGCTAAAACTTGGCCGGAAATGGGACCGGTGCTTTAATAAAGGTAGCCAAGTGTATCAAAAATTAAAGATAGGAAAGAACCACAATTTGCATAGAAAACATGGATTTTCGGGATAAGGAGCAAGCGGAAAATAGAGAAGATGATCAGATAAAAGTTTATGTATTGAATAACTAAGAAAAGTAGGCTATTTTGGAACCTATTATAGACCGCAAGCGTCGCCAGCCGCCAGCTCGGCCCCAGCCAACTGCTTTTGACGTTTCCCCCACATCTTCAAGAAGCCCGCCTACCAAATGCCCATCTCCCGAGAACATGTCAGATTCAGCACCTCAAGGCATTAGGAAATCGGATGGCATGGACACCGGCCGGATCGATGGTCCAGACCGGTGGTAAAACCTCTTAAGGAATGTATAAGTGGCCATTTGTTTACCCCGGTGAGCTAGTGTTGGTGGCCGATTTTGGGTCAAGAAAGCGAAGTGAGGTGTGAGAAGAAGGCGGGAAGGGGGAATGGCATAAATTTTTGCCGGTTTGGAACTGTATTGTAAATACCCGGAAAGGGTTTGAGGAGGGAGTGGGAGGATGTGAAAGTGAGGATGAGGGGGTGAAAGCGGGAAGCTAGACCGGCATAGGTTGAAGAGCATTTAGAGGAAAGTGGCAAATCGCTCCCGACGGCATCTCGGTGAAGGGTTGGGTATAAGTCATGAAGAGTAAAAGTGGCAGTAAAACGATTGGATGCTTAAGGAACAGATATGTCCTTAAATATATTTTAATAAGACTGTAGTGCAGATGGTGTTTAAGGAAATCTAGCGACTTTTAGCGGTTAGAGCACAGTTCAATTTTTACGATTTAAGTATCAGACAGAAGCTCTCAAAAAGCGAGAAAACAAGCACTTTTCGTTTTCTTGGTTAAGTATTATCATTCTGGTTTTCTTACGCGAAAATCACCAAAAAGCCAATTTTTTCTACAATTACATGGTAATTGCTATTTGCCGTCCATAAACCACAAGGAATGTCGAGCGAATGGTCAAATTCGAAGAAAACTGAAGTCGCGAGCTTCCTGACATTTTCAAGAGCTTTCGAATGGTTTCAAAAATCATCTCGATCCGAGTTTTCTCCAGGCGGCTAGACGGTTTTTTCGAGACGCCCAATCCAATAGTTTAAAAGGCTAAACCAAACCGCTACCGACCACCGGCTTGGTAAGCGATCACAGGTCGTAGAAGTGAATCGTCTGGTGGAGTGAGGAGGTCGGGTCTTGGCGATGGGTTGGAAGTGTGTATCGGAGGATTGAAGGGCCTTCCGAAGGCCTCCAGGAGTCCCCCAATCGTCGCCATACGGTACTTGCGATTGTGTCTCGAGGACCCACGCGCACCATGCATCGCATGGACCATCGTTTCCGCCACCCTTCCGTCTCGTAGCCGTTTCAGAAACCGCTTATCCTGGGGGCGGTAATGTAAATGTCAGAAGAAGAATGTAAAGAAGTCTGCTCAACATCGAATACAAAATTTATGCAAAATTGAAGTTACCTCTGCTAAATGCCGCTCATTCTTTGAAAACCTAAAGCTTTGGGCCATATTAAAAATATCATCACGAGGTATCACCTCATAAGCTAATTCTTAAACTTCGCTATGCCCTTAACCTCGCCCGTATTTTTCAAAAAAATCGCCCTGATCAATGAAATGGACGTCGGTCATTGTTTTTATGCCGGCTCCCGACAGTAGACCAAATAATACAAAGGAATTCCAACATGTGGCAACTAGTCATCGACCGCTCCTTAAAAGCACGTTTCTCCCTCGCTACACCATTCTTGAAACTAAATCCATGCGCGAAACTTCTTCTTCAATTATTCACATGTTCATCTGCAGAAGGTGTCGCCCGTTCCTCTCTTCGGTAAGCTTTTCCTAATCCTTTGCGTAAGGGATGAGGTCGCTCGGTTTTGGGCGCTATTTTGTTGAGTAAGAAAATCAATGAGTACCTAGCTAGCTATTCGGGTGGTCTGAATATTTGGGGCGTAGCCTTTCAAAAATTCTTCGGTGGCTGGATGCAGTTTTCAATTCAGCTTAACAACAAGGTATGAAGTCGACTCGCCTCTATCATTTGAATTTCTAAAGAACGTGTAGAATTTGTATACGTATACATATTTTTCCTACCAAGCGAACCGAAAATTTAAATATAGCTTGTGGCGTAGGTCACCTACTATTTCACTTGATTGTTCAAAAAGTTGTCTGTAGTAACAATGGAATGAAGTAATATAGGTTAAGCTATAAATACAAAGTAAGTTTTATGCTAATTTGTGAAGTAACATAATTCATTTTGGAATAGTTTCTCTTTGTCTTACTATTTTTAAGATCTCGCAGCTCAATCTAGTCGATAAAACCCTAATTTATCTCATCATTCACCACTTATCATGGCTTTTGCCTTACCTACCCTTGTGGTCATTCCCTACCGTACCTTCAGAGCCATTCCCATCGCTGCAGGACTCCCCCTTATGACACGGGACGGTCGCGACGCGGCCGTGTGTCTGTCTCCTCTCAATGTTGGTGTCCCCTACATCGGGCCGTTCTGCGTCCTCTACCCTTTCCATGTTCTCTATCCATCCATGGCCGTTGGCCCCTCCCCTCGTGCCCGCTCTATCCCCCCTTCCTTCTCCCTCTATCCCGCTACCGAAACGGTGCCCCATCCGCTTCCGCACCGTTTTCCTCACCCGCGTCCTGGGCCCGAAAAATGAACTCGGGCTCGTTTGGAAGCGCGCGTGGCGCACTGTCGAATGAGCCGGCGCAACCTTAATTCCATCCGGACGCGGCTTAGAAAAAGCGCATAGAAGGTTGGACCACACGCACGGCACCGCTGCAAAAACGACTCCGGCGCGCGCCTCGACCCCCCGGGCAGGCAACCCCCGGCCCCCCGTAACCCGAACTTGCCCTTTTTGACATTGAATATGGGCCCAATGATACAGAAAAGTATCATATTAACAATTGAGAAGAAAGGGTGTTTTATCGGATACCTCCCGTCGTCAGCTTACCCAATCGGTAGGGGGATAGACCGAAGGTCGTTGCCACACAAAACTTTTACGATACCTTGAGTTTTTTGACTGCTGGTTTAACGCACGTATTATTGCGATCTATTCAATTAGAACTTTTTGCATTTTTGCAAACTTTAGTTTGTGCGTTTCTCCGCTTGCAAAGAACTTTACCATTTGCATAATTTTTGCAAAAAAAAAACAGCCACTTGATGCGTTGAAACACGCTAAGTACTAAGGAATTGGCATTCACTTATCAGTTTCTCGACTTTTTTGAATCGATAGTGACAGCTCGATTACTTTTCGCACTTTGCTATATAATTTCTCAAGCAAATACCAGATCTTCGGATTAAGTTTTTGTCTATTGAACAAAAATGATCTGCAATACTTTCCTAAGTAAAACTTATTATCAATCCTCGAACGTCAGCCGGATTCGCCCTTTCACAGCAGATGTGGCTGATAAGAATTACCCTCTACCTCTGACACTACCGCACTTTTGAAAGGATCGATTTTTCATAATTTCACACCCGAAATTATAACCTATTAGCTAAAAAATTGATTTGGAAATATTGAGCTTGAATTTTCTCTACGAATTATTGGAAACTCTGAAAATTTAGTTATTTACATACTGTTACCATTTAGAATGCTACAGAGTTCCTATAGGTTAATATTTATGTATTAAAATATTCGGTTTCAACTTTTCTTATCTCCTTAAGTGTTTCTTTGCCCCATATCACCCAATTTTTTTTCTGAATCCAAATGCAAATTTTTGGATCCAACGTTTTTTATCCATTTTCACGCTAAAAACCTTGTAATTAGCATCTATCGGCCTGAATTTCAGTTATTTGCCTCGCGTGAGCCATCCATCCTTCATTTTGACAACTTATTTCCGAATTCCCAGCTCGTAATTTTGGGAGTGGGGGACTTTCCCACAATGGCTTTCTGAAAGTTTGCGTTCTGACAGTCTGCCGCGTCTGCTCCTTTCCCATTAGAGTGTTCTTTTCTGATACAAGCCCGGCGCTCCGGGGGTGCATGGGTGCAGCTGCCATGCAGTTTCATTTCATTCTATGCAAGTTTATTTTAATAAAATACATGGAAAAGGATAAAAATTAATTGAAAAAGTGTTCTAGTTCTTTTTCGAGACCCGCTAGAACATTTTGTGCAGGATTTTGTAGCAAGCATTTGCAAATTGTTACCATTTTTTGAACCTCATAATCTCCGAATTTTTCGAAAGATATTTTATATATTCATCGAAACATCAGTATTTTATATGATTACGGATTTATTACTAGTATTTTCAGAGCCGCGCTGAGCGCCGTTGCCGTGGTATGTCCACGCAGACAATGGACGCTCATGGCGAGCCGTCAAATAAGAAGGCACGGTTGTCGCCTTGTAAGTTATAAAAACAAATACTTTAACTATGACTGACTCTACAAAAGCTATGACACCAATCGATTACAGCTTTCGACGACATGGATATGCTCAACGGTTTGGACAAGATGGACCCGATGGGGCAACCCGATCAGAACATGATCAATTCAGCCAACGCGGGCGGCGGTGGAATGAATATGAATCAGGTAAGTATCCGAAAGCAATGATGATAGAAGAAAGTGACTGGAATCGAGCTCACAAAAAGTAACAAAATAAATTAGTTTCAGGGAAATGCCTATCAGCCGGGGCCCCATTCACAGAATAGCTCCGGACCGACATCCTCGGTTCTTCAAGAGCTACTACAGGTCTGATCAAAGGATTAAATTTTATATTTATTTTGTAGAATCCCACATCAACGGGGCCTCCAACTTCGATGAATTCACCGAGACCTCCTTACCAAGGGCAAGCTGGCGGTCCGGCTGCTTACCAACAGGCACCGAGGTATGTGAATCACTATAAAACAGCTCAACTTAATCTTGGCGCCAGATACTAAAAAATTATTTTAGGGACAGCCCAATTGGACCAACAATGATGTCCCCACCAACTCAAGGACAACAAATGGCCAACCGACCCGTAGCGCCAGTCGGCCCCTTGAGAACAGGCCCCGGCCCCGGACCTGGACCCGGTCAAATGTACGCCCAAGACCAAATGATCCCTCCTGGTAAGCAATCCTCTTTCTTACAATGAAAATAATGAGTTTGTTCTGAAACCACAAAAGCCGGACCCGATCCTCTTGTCGGAACCACTCCCCTTTCTCCCTGATAAGCCTACGGTAAAAGGAACACGGCGATAACATCTGTAACAACATATCTGCTGGAAACAAGCCCCGCTGTTCCTTGAACCAAGAAGCATATTGATTTGCAAAGAAAGCTATCAAAATGCTATCTCAAAGAAAATAGGAAGATATACTATAGTAAGAACCAAGTAATTTCAGGTGGTCAACAATACGCGCCGATGATGCAAGGACCAGGCCCTGGCATGAGCTTCTACCAAGGGCCCGGCCCTGCCGGTCAACCCGGACCCCCGCGACAACAAATGGGCCCCGGACAGTACCAACAAATGCCGAGACAACAAGCCATGGGCCGTGGAATCCCGATGCAACCCATACACAACGGGATGCCGCCACAGCAGATGAGGGCACCGCCTGGCCAACGACAGAACATGATGATGCAGCCGATGCAAGGGAGACCAATGCCCGGAATGCCTCCACAACAATTCGATCAACATCCGCAGTACATGGGCCCTCGAGACCCGCAGTTCATGCAACCGCCGGCGCAGGTTTGTTTTCAACATTTTAATCAATCACCAATTTTCAGCATCATCAATTCAACGGAATGGGAGGACAAATGCCGCGTGGACAACCACCGCAGCACAACTATGCACCCAATGGCCCAATGCCAATGCAAAACCAACAGGTATGATCCGCCGGAGAAGGCTATAACTTACCGAATCTTTAGTATCCGCCGATGAGCCAGGGTGCACCCCAGCAAATGCAACCAATGATGCAAAATGGCCCTCCAACCCAACAACCCGGAATGCCACAGCATCCCATGCAACAACAACAACCACCACCACCTGCACAATCTCAACCCGGCGGCCCCATGCCTGCCGCTCCACAAAACCTTGGCCCTCCTGGACCCCCACCATCCGGTGGCCCTCAACCCATCCAACCTGGTGGACCTATGGTAAGTCCCAAAGCCATGAGCCGAAACATCATTTCAGCAGGATCCCGAAAAGAGAAAACTCATACAACAACAACTCGTCCTCTTGCTCCATGCTCACAAGTGCCAGGTATGTTGTTGTTGGGCCTTGGAATTGTTTAATTTTAGCAGCGACAATCGACCTGCAATCTGCCGCACTGCTCGACGATGAAGGAGGTGCTCTTGCATATGACATCTTGCAATGCGGGAAGGATGTGCAATTGTAAGAGATTTTATTTATTGCATCAATATTTTTTGCAGTCCCACATTGCGCTTCATCTCGACAAATAATCGCTCATTGGAAGAACTGCAGTCGTGACGATTGCCCCGTTTGCAAACCGCTGAAGAACATTCAATCCAATCAGAATGCTCAGGGAGCAGCACCTGGAGGAGGTAGACAATTTAATCAAAGTCTACCTTACCGTAAATTAGGTGATGAAGTTTTCCCGATGGATGCCGGATCATCCTCGTCCTCAGCTGTTGGCCTAGCCCAGGGTAATATGCCAGGCGGTGTTGGAGCTGGCTTGGATATGCCCGACTTCGGTAGCGCATCACAGAACGCCCAACAACTTCTACATGACTACCCCGGACCCGGGTATACACCTTCATCCCCGGTTATTTTCTAGTTCCTTTAGTGGCGGGCTGTTCGGCAGTGACATCTTCCGTTCTCCCAACAACCCACCTCCGAACAAGAACATCGGAAGTCAGATCCCGGGCCACAAACTTCTGGAGCAGCAGCAGCGTCAGCAACAAGTTCCGCAGCAGGCGCAACCTAGTAAGTATCTATAAAGATTGCAGAATTTAATTTTAACATTAAAAATAAAAATTAAAAGCAATTTTCTCTTTCAGACAACGCTCCCCCAATCAAAGAATGGCATCAACAAGTCACAAAAGACCTCCGAAACCACCTCGTCGGCAAATTGGTGAAAGCCATCTTCCCAAGCCCCGACCCAGCAGCAATGCACGATCAAAGAATAAAAGACCTGATCAGCTACGCGAGAAAAGTAGAGAAGGAGATGTTCGAAATGGCGGAAGATCGCGAGGAATACTATCATCTCTTGGCCGAGAAGATCTACAAGATCCAGAAGGAGCTCCAAGAAAAGAAGCAAAAACGGTTGAACGAACAGCAGGCAGCCCAGCTTCGTTGTGGTCAGATGCCGGTAGGATGATTACCACTTACCGTAATTTGTAATCTTTGTAGGGTCCGGGACCAAGTGGCGGAGATGCCGGTGGACCATCAGGATCGAGAGCCGGAAATTCGCAGCAGTGGAATCAGAACTACGGTAGGATTCAATTTGGGAATGCATTAATGATAGGTTTAGCTGACTTGACAAGCGACTTCGATATGAAGCCTCAAGTCCCAGGTGGAGATCAAATGTCCGGAGGCGGTATGATGGGCATGCCGGGCGGACAGCGACCGAAGCCGCTACACCAGGCTCAACAACCTCAGCAAGGTGTATGGGCACCATCAAGCGATCCGGCTAGCAATCAAAGTAAGAAATTACTAAAAGTAATTGGTATATACCTAAAGTAAGACAACAATAGCTAATTTTGACTTTCAGGCTCTCAACAAGGCTACGATGTGAAGCCGGACTCCCAACAGGTCCAACACGTACAGGATATGCTCGAGATGGAATACCCAACAAATGGAGCTCAAATGAACGGCAATGTCAACCAGATCAAAAACGAGATCAAGCAGGAATTGCTAGCGGGTAATTCTAGCCATCCTGAAATGATTTAAACTCAATTTTAGTGGAAGATCGCCCTCAACAACCTCAAGCTCCCAAGCGCAAGCTGGAACCACCGCCAAGGGAAATGACTTCCGATCGGGAGCCAAGACCCTCCAAGCGCGAGTTGACACCCGGACCTGCGCGCGAAGATGTGGTGTTCTCACCCGATGAGCTTCGGAACCGTTTGCGTCCGGTCTGGGAGAAGATGGATCACAGCGACGATGCTATCCCCTTCAGGGTCCCGGTCGATCCGGAGCTCTTAGGAATTCCGGTGAGTTTATAACCCTTAAAACTTAATAGGCGAATCAACTAACCAAACAACCCAAACATTCCAGGATTATCCGGATATTGTCAAACATCCGATGGATCTCTCAACGATCAGCCAAAAACTCGACCTCGGAGCATACAAAAATGCCTGGGAGTTCTGTGATGATATGTGGCTGATGCTGGAGAACGCGTGGCTTTACAACAGAAAGAACAGCAAGGTTTACAAGTTCGCCACCAAGGTATGGCGTCACCTTTCGACTTTTTAATCGAAAAAATCTAGATGTGCGAGCAATTCATCGTGGAGATGAACCCGGTGATGAAGAAGATGGGGTACTGTTGCGCTGAGCGATTGGCCTTCACCGCCCTGCCCTTGTTCTGCTACGGTGCGACGCAGTGTATTATTGCTCGAGATCAGCCTTACATGTGGTAGGTATTATAAAAAAATCCTTTATGCCAATAATTATAATTATATGATATAAGCTAATAAAAATTTTCCAGTTTCGAGCGCAACAGCAACCAGTACGGCATCCAAGTCTCCGAGAAATTCACCTACTGCATGAAATGCTTTGAAACCATGATCCCAGCCGAGGGAATGGCTCTAACCGACGATCCGGATACAGCCCGTGTTCCTAAGGTAATTCCACACCTACCGATTTTAATACAAAACTTTTTGTAGGAAGACTTCAAAGAGATGAAGAACAACCTCATCGACTACGAGCCGTTTGAGTATTGCAAGCTTTGCTACCGGAAATGGCATCGCATCTGTGCCCTTCACGATAAGAAGGTCTTCCCGGAGGGCTTCATCTGCCACAGTTGTCGCACGAAGGAAGGAATGCCGAAGCCAGAAAACAAATTCATGGCTAAGAAGCTACCTCACAACCGGCTCAGCCAGCATTTGGAGGTTTGTTTTATCTAACTTGCCCCCTACGGTATCTTTAGGATCGTGTCAACACCTTCATCAAACGTCGAAGCGCAGAGCTGAAGCTCAAAGAAGAAGCTGCTGAAGTCGTCATCCGAACACTTTGCGTCCAAGACAAAGAAGTCGAGGTCAAGAAAGAGATGAAAGAAAAGTAAGGCACCCCCTCATGTCTATAACTTTCTTAAGGTACTGTCTCGGCCCGGAACAATTCCCCGAAAAGTTCCCGTACCGCTCAAAGGCCGTCTTTGCCTATGAAATCATTGATGGCGTTGAAGTATGCTTCTTTGGCCTTCACGTCCAGGAGTACGGTACCAAGTGCGGAAAGAGCAATCAGAGGTAACGCATAATTACCCGGGGTCCTCATAATTATATGTTTAGACGAGTCTACATCGCCTACCTCGACTCGGTATACTACTTCCAACCCAAACAATTGCGTACGGATGTGTACCACGAGATTTTGCTTGGATACTTGGAGTGAGTATCAAAAAAAAATAACATTAAGATTGGTTTCAGTTATGCAAAACGTCTCGGGTACTCAATGGCACATATCTGGGCGTGTCCTCCATCTGAAGGCGATGATTACATCTTCCATTGCCATCCGCCAGACCAGAAAATCCCGAAGCCAAAGAGACTTCAAGATTGGTATCGAAAGATGTTGGAGAAAGGAGTGGAAGAAGGATGCGTCGTGGACTTCAAAGACATCTACAAAACGGTAGATAACAGGGAATCAAGTACATACGCTCCTTTTAGGCCAAGGACAACAACATGCTCACCCCCACCGAACTTCCTTACTTCGAAGGCGATTTCTGGCCGGGAGTCATTGAAGAATGCATCCGTGAAGTGAAGAGTGAAGAAGCAGCCCGAAAAGAGGATGTCGATGATGGCGATGACTCAAACGGCATCGGAGATGGGAAAAAGAAGACGTAGGACTTTGGAAATTAAACGTATATATCTTTTTAGGAAAAAGAACACGAAAAAGAAGAACACCAAGATGAACAAGAAGAAGGGCGCCACGTCGACTGGCAATGAAGTCACCGACAAGCTGTTCTCCCATCTCGAAAAGCACAAGGACGTCTTCTTCACGATCCGCCTGATCGACAAGATTTCGGAGAAGAAACTGCCGGTATTTAAGAATTCTGGGGGTTTTGATATTTTATTTATAGCCGGAGATTAACGACCCCGATGGTTTAATGGCCAGCGATCTGATGGATATTCGTGACACCTTCCTGCAGAGGGCTAGGGACGAACACTGGGAGTTCAGCAGTTTGAGGAGGTAAATATTTGGTATCGAAACATTAATAATGTAATTCAGAACCAAATACTCGACGTTGTGCTTGTGCCACGCGCTCCACAGTGAAGGCGAGCAGAAAGATTTGGGCTACCAGTGCGACAAATGCAAAGCGACGGCTAGGTGGCATTGCAATACTTGCGAGGTTGGTATTGAGAGCGAGAGAGAGCGAGCGAAGGAGAGAGAGAGAAAGAGAGAAAGAGGCATCAAGATATACTATTCCTTCAGGATTACGATCTCTGCGATGCTTGCAAACAGCAATACCCTCACGAACATCCGATGGAGGCGATGAACTCACTTGTCGACCAGGGTGGCCGAGACCAAGGAAGCAGCAACAGATACGAAAGCATCCAGGTACCATCAAAAACTGACATCCAACTACAATCTCATAAATTTTCAGCGCTGTATCGCATCCCTGGTGCACGCCTGCCAGTGCCGAGACGCGAACTGCCGTCGCATGTCTTGCCACAAGATGAAGCGCGTCGTCCAGCACACCAAGATGTGCAAGAAACGCGTCAACTCGGCGTGCCCCGTCTGCAAGCAGTTGATTGCGCTCTGCTGCTACCACGCGAAGCACTGCCAACGGGATGGATGTCAAGTAAGTTTGAGTTCATGAATGGTCTAAAAGACAAGGCGACACAGCTAAAAACCTAATTTTTCAGGTTCCGTTCTGTATGAACATCCGGCAGAAGCTCAGCGAGCAGAAGAGGTCGATGGCTCGTCGTGCCGAGATGATGATGAGGCGTCGTATGGAGGGACTCCACGCGGCTGTCATGCCGTCGTCCAGTGCCTCTACTCAACCTCCTTCACAAGCACCGCCCGCTCAACCGCCTAGCGTTCAAGCTCCAGCTTCACAACAATCCAGTATGTCAATAGTAACAGAGAGTCATTTTAAACAACTTAACGATTTGTTTGAACCAATAACCTCTAATTTTAGTGCCCCCATCAGTCGGCCCGGGATCTGCGGGTAGTCAACAAAACCCGGCAACTCCATCAAACCAACACAACATGAAAGCCCAGCAGATGTATCAACAACCCATGGGCAATCACAAAGGCCAACAAGGACAACATCCCATGAGCGGCCAAAGCCAACAAATGCAACAGCAGCAGTATCGCCAGCAACAAGGTATACTACAAGAAAACAGACACTTAATTTCGAACATTTAGGGATGATGTCACAACAAGGACAATATCAAGGCCAACAAATGGGCGGTCAGCAAATGATGAATCAGCAGCAGCGCCAACAGCAACTCCAACAACAGCAGCAACAACAACAGCAACAGCGCCAGCAGCAGATGAATATGCAATATAGGCAACAACAACAGCAGCAGCAACAACCGGTATGTCGTTAACTCCTCCTTATGAACCCTAACAAAATTCATAATCTACCCAACACGCTTTGTTTCAGATGCAAAACAACCAAGGCCAATATGGTGCCCCCGGCCAAATCATGCCCAACCAACAACCGCCGCAAAATCAACAACAGGGCATGATGGGCCAACAACAAGGTGAGAAACATCAAAAAGGTATAAATATATTTTAAGGGATGCAAGGTCAACGAATGCCACCTGGCCCTGGCCCCTCAGCCGGCTCTTCCGGACAACCTCAACAGTCCGACCCGCAGCTGCAGAAAATCATGCAGAGGCTGAAAGCTGCTCAGACTCCTGAGGAGAAGGAGGCCCTCTTCACAGATCTGAAAAAGACGCCCCATCTTTTCACCGCTTTCTTGAAGGTAAATTAATGTTATGATGATTTTTTAATGATGATGAATTTCAGATGATGAACAACGGCGGCAACGGGCAGATGGGAGGCATCCCGAACAGCTGGACTGCCGGTGTCCAACGATCCCAACACGGCATGCACATGCAGGGCAACGGGCCCCCGCAAATGGGCCAACAACATATGCAAGGCCAACAGCAACAACAGCCGCAGCAGTTCTATTCTCAACATGGTATGTATAGTGATTGAAAATGGTAATTATAATGTGTTTGTTAAGAATATATGGGCGGCCAGCAACCCCAGCAACAGCAGCAGCAGCCCGGTCAGCCTGGTCAGCAGCGGGGTGCACCCGGTGGCCAATACGGCAATGTACCGCCCCAGCAGCAGCAGTGGCAACAACAACAACAGTTCCAAAACCGGAACCACACTGGCTCGCCAGCCGTACCGCAATATGGAAACCAGGTAGGGTCTTGATAACGTCTCAAGGTATTTTAAAATCAGAAGCTCGGCATTTAATGATTATTAAAACGATGAACTGTACGTAAAATAATAAAATTAGCATAATTAATTTTGGCATAATGGATTTTAGCATAAAGAATCCTCGATACAACGTTATCAAATCCTGAATTTCAGTATTAACTCGTGCCACTCTCCCACAACTCCTGCCAAGCTCCGGTGACATCCGCCTCCCCTCTCCCACAACAGCTGTGATCCTATACATCTCCTCCAAAACTGAATCGGGTTCATTCTACCTTATTTCCTCGTTTTGTTCTCATAAACCCCTGTGCCATTTCCATGTTCATACCAGGGTTTCGTATCCTGTGTCTCCACGCGCCGGCTCAACACATCTCGTCCTCCTCCTATTTCCTCACAGAATCCTTTGAAACCTGTACCCTCCCTTACGTGTATCCTAGGCTGAAGCTAATGGTTATCGTTGCCCGCGCCAGAATGTACAAGCTAGTTTGATGCAGCCTAGGTTCAGATGTCCGACCCCCTACTTCTACCCCCATATATAGTTAGTGCCCTATTAGCATTTTCCCCAGACACCATTCCAACGCATTTGAAAATTCAAATTATAAAATGTACCATGTCTCCCGATGAGTTTTGAGTAGTATTTCGTATCGGGACGGCACATCAGCCAGTGCCGATCGGTGAAACGCGTCAAAAAAGTCATTCAAGCTGTAATTTGTAGCCGCTTCCGGTCAGGTGTACTCGTCACGGCCTGTAGAACACTAGTTGCTAATCCGTCCTCTAGATGTGGTCTTATTTTAATTGAATCCACCCTAAAATTTGCGGATCAGATTAAGCTTGCGGCTCTCCTGCTACCCTTTAAACCTGCTTTTTTTCTTCATGTTTCTATTAAATGGAAAAAACGGTGATTCAATGAAAAAAATTGATAATTTGAATCAGAACCGTAGGATTTAAAAATGGGTTTGATTTGAATAAGCACCACCTCTAACCCATTTCCGCTCGCTCGCCAGCCACTTTACTGCCCCGTCTTTCGCGTCTTATGGTGTCCACCGTGTGATTGTCTTGCACATCATCTGCTCATCCAACTCCCCTAACCCTCCAAAATCCTCCCCCTATCAAAATTACAAGGAATCTTCCCCAATTGCAATTTTGTACAGTAACGGTAGACTCCAGTAGAGTTGATGCTTTTGTTTGTTTTCTAGATTCCCTTTGTTTCATTGATTTGCCGCAGTCAAACCTTGTCCCAGGGAATTGCTCAAAAGAAAGTTTACCGTTTACTTTTTGGTCACCTCATCTTGTTCTTAATGTGTTGTTTTCATCGATTTTTCGCCGGCCTTTTGAAAGCCAAGTACCCTTTAGTTGACCTCGACCGCCCCGGGGTCTCCTGAAGACCCTACCCCCTTCCGGCATCCTTCCGGCAATCTCGTTTCTCAAACCTGATTTATCATAACCGAAAACGTAGAAGGGGAGCACTGGCTGTTCCTGATAGCACCGATTTGTTTTTTTACAACTTGATTTGTTGCGTAACCAGAATTTTATTCGAAATTGCCAACCCCCCTACTTCTGTGAGGGCACCCCTTTCTTCACTTCGGTTTCGCTGTCATTCTTAAAGCCTTTACTTCGTGAGTTAAATGTTGTTGAACTTGTATTTATCTTAAATAAATTTCTAAACTATTTTCGGTACGTTGCAACACGTAACTGATATGGCACTAGTGATAGAAAAGGTTTGTTTGCGTGTTCATGGACTCTGATCGCGTGGGATCCAAAAATCCAATTTTTTTACAAAATTAGCTTTGTCAGGATTTCCCCCCGGACTCATTCGAGCCGGCTTGCAACGCTGATTCCGGGGTGCTGACTGGCTTGGTTGTAACGTCACGGATGTGTTCACAACAATTTTTTTTTAACGTCAAGCCCCTCAGGGCATCTTATCAGGGCAACCAATAAACACATCATTATTGAAATAATTTATTATTAAAGGATTTAGGAATCCTGTTTAATCTGCTCCAATACATCATTAATCTCATCCGGAATCCACTTGAGAAATGCCCACCAATACAACACGTTGAAGAATATGTAAAGTAGAGGAAAGGCCACCTAAAAAGTTAGTGCATTTCTGAATCCAAGAATATACCTTTGAAACACTATCAATCCGGTTAACCACCGCTGCCGGATCCCTCATCTGAAGTTTTCTTCTTGCCTTTGCAGCTTTCACCGCCATTCGATAAAAAACTAAAACAATTTTTTGGCCAAGTTACTTTATTTTGTTTTCTAAAAGCAAAGCCTTCAACGGGGGACACGCTCTTCTCAAGATTTCTGGTTGAGAACAACCTTGAGAAGTCGTCAACAAAAAAAAGGTTTCTCGGGTAATGTCTTTCAGCCAAAAGTATATATAGATTGCCAAGACAGGGACAGTTTGTGCCTGAAACAGAAAGTGTCGAGCTAGAGCCACGGTTACCACGCGACGATTTTCGAGAGGTTTGGCCTGAAAGGGGATTTATTTGGGAGGGTAATTTGCATACGAAAATTGTTACCAGATTGTGTTTCTTGTTTCCTGCGGAAGCATCGATACCAGGGCCCTCGTTCTTGTGGGGGAGATGGTTCGGCTTCGGAGAGCTCGTCCATCTTGAAAAATCTTAAAAACTATCGCCAAGCTTACCTGAACCGTCTCTTTTCTGGCTCCCATAATTCCAGCGGTAAACATTCTCATTTTTTCTATCTGAAACATATTGAGAATTTCCTTGTTATATATAAATTATAAGGTTTCGACACTATCAACAAAATTAGAAAGGTTTTTCGGGGGATGAGAGGGGTGTTTAGAGGGAGAAGTCAGATTCTAGGAGTCATTCCAGCACAACCCATTACCTCAAACAGTGAGGCCTGCATGGCCGATTTGCGCAGGATCTACGAGAATTTTTTAGCAGCTACTTTTAGAGAATTTTGAGGTCCTGAATGCCAAAAAAAATTACCGCTCTGTTAGACTCGAGCCCTTGCAACTCCTTCACTTTCTTCCGGATGTAATACACATGCGCATAATTGATAACGGCGTATTCGACCATTGCCGCGAAGACAAACCCGAAGCAGACACTAAAAATCGTAAGTATCTATCCAACGTCTTACATTATGTAAATGTCTAATGCAGTTGAGTGTGAGACTTTTGGAAGGTCTGTCCGCAAGCCGAAACCTAGCGTTGACATTGAGAGGACAGTCATAATTCCTGGAAAACCTTATATTTGGTCCTTGAAATTACCCAATGCTACTCTGGCCGGTGATGCTTCCTTGTTGATCCAAAATGACACCCAGGACATTACTACTAATAAAGTACATGGGGTATAGATCTAAAAACAGATGTCTAATTTCAGATGGGCCTGAAGTCAAACCTGCAGAATGTAGAAGCCCTGTTGTCTCTGGAGTTTGAAGTAGACCTTCAGGACCGAGCTTTCTAAATGGGTTTCTTAGTTCCAGACTTGGCTCAAGCTCCGGCCGAAGCTATGGTTTAGCTGCCAAAAATGCCTTTCCTCAAGATCAAAATCTTACGTTTATTGGGATCTCGATAATCAGTAATGTTCAGCTGGGTCTTAGCGATGCCCAAGAATTGATATTGGGATAGCATATTGCCCATCTAAAGATTGGTCTTTAGTTTTCTCTCATTCTAACAAACTTTATCATCCAAATCCACGATTTTCCATCGATAAATCACATCAGAAGTGAAATACGCAAAAGAGCCAACCTCGATTGCGCAGGCCTAGGCATTGACGTCGCAATGAAAATCTTTCTGATACCTGAGAATCCATCGGGAATTTTGATAAAAACATTTGACATCGAGTTCGGATTGTAAGCCTAAAACTATTTGAATTCGCGACCAAAATCCACCTTTGTGAAACAGTGATGAAACCCGTCGATTTCACCCGGAATAATATATTTGGCACCGTTAATGTGTGTAGATAGGATCTCCGTCCATTTCTAGAAAATAATTTACGACGCTGTTCAGATTCTTTCACCTTATATACGTGTCTGGAATCCAGATATCTTTCAACATTTGGCTGGACAGCGGGATCTCATTCCGATCATCTGGCGGGACGAACGCCAGCCGATCGTCGAGCCATTTTTGCCGGAAGTAGCAATCCAGCGAGAATTCCTGAATGATATCTATCATTCATTGGGGGAGGATTTTCAATGCATGTGAAATGCTGGATGCTGAGAATGTGGGGTGGACGCACCATGTTCTGCTCTGAGATTGGGCCCATCGATCTCACATTAATGTCCACCTCGACGAGCAGAGGCTCGTTTTTCTCTGCAAAAAATGTGGTAAAACTGTAAAAGGCCAAAAAGAAACTTACTCTGATTCATAGGACGTATATTTTTATCTTGCTTTAAAAGTATAGTATTTAACAGCCGCGTAACACTTCTGATCAACGTCAAATTATGCGTAGACTGGGACTGTAGCGCTGGGTTTGCTGAAAATAGTTGAATTTTATTTTATATCCTTTAAAAAAACTTACAAGTCCAATTCTTCTCAAAATTAAACCCGGCAGCGTCTCGGAGAAGCAGCAAGAGGGCAAGAAACAAAAAGTCCGAGTGCATCCTGTAATTGTTGAGCTCCTGAGGTCAACGAAGCGCAGAATAAAATTCAGACAAGCCCAAATATTTCGAGTCGCACTTCGCGTCGCGGCGGAGAAGGGGGACGCTCGGCGGAAAGCATTTGCCAATTTGTGCATTCAAAAAAAGGCGGAGGAGCACAAAGGGTAGGAGGAACCCGTCTAATTGAGACGCTTTCTGGCGGCTATGCGCTTTCAAAGAAAAGATGCTTAAAAGATGACTATACGAACTTGATAGAGCCACATTTTAATTTGGAAAACTTGGTAATAGGGGTGAAAAAGGAACGAAAAAATAACAAGTAAAAAAATCCTAAAATGCGTTCCTAGCACAAGAAAAAAATGCCGAGCTAACACCCCCCGGATTGTTGATGAAAAAAGGGTGTTGGGCTGGAGATGCAGCTGCTGGAATTGAATCCCCCCGCCCACCGACAATCGCATTTTGATGGGCCCCCGGGACACAACTTCCAGCTAGCGCCTCCTGGGCTTCGTCGCAGGTCCAGTCGCAACCAGGAGAGCTGGAAACGAGCGGCGAGATGGCCAAAGACGGGCCCCTTAATTAGGGCCAAGGTCTGCTGGCTTTATGAGGGGCCCTGTGGCCGGAAGAAATATCTAGTGACCATCATTTGGGAGGATGAAGCGGATGAATGGGTGCTGGGGGAAACGAACAAATTGATCTGTGTACTAACTGGTGGTGTCTGGCTGCGAAAACCCTTGAATTTTGGGGAGGAGATACTTAAGGAGTGTGACGACTGGACGCGGAGGCAGACAGATAGGTGAGGAAGAAGCTTGATACATGGGCATAGAGTGGCTCGGGATTCTGTATAGGCTTAGGCTTCGGCTTAGGCTTACTAGGGAAGTGCAAATAAAAAACCCAGCAAACCGCTTAGCAAAAATATGGGTCTGATAGAGTCGGCGACGGGGATTCCGAAACTGCAATCAGAATTTGCTAAACGCTTAATACAAAATAGTTATGAGCATTTTAAGTTTTGCACTACATGCTCCGCCCTCCCTTATGAGCCACTCCCAGAGATGGGTGTCCACCTGTCGAGTGGTGTAGTGGCTAACTAGCATGCCTCTGGGGCGGAGGGTCTCTGGTTCGACTCCCCGGTCATGCAAAACTTTTTACTTTTTGGTCAAAGTCAACAACTTTAGACTTTTTCAAAGTTTCGGAGTCGAAAAGGTCGTTCTCTTAATTTTTAAATTTACGAAACCGATTGCGAAGTGGTGGCGGGAGTGTCAGTACTCTTGCGGATAGGGCACTAAAAAAATTCACTTCTATTTTTTCGTAAGGTAGGCCTAGGCGCAATCAATAATAAAGAAAATTTTTAAAAATCTAAATTTCGGACTTCGAAACTTTGAAAAAGTCTAAACTTGTTGACTTTGACCAAAAAGTAAAAAGTTTTGCATGACCGGGGAGTCGAACCAGAGACCCTCCGCCCCAGAGGCATGCTAGTTAGCCACTACACCACTCGACAGGTGGACACCCATCTCTGGGAGTGGCTCATAAGGGAGGGCGGAGCATGTAGTGCAAAACTTAAAATGCTCATAACTATTTTGTATTAAGCGTTTAGCAAATTCTGATTGCAGTTTCGGAATCCCCGTCGCCGACTCTATCAGACCCATATATTTGCTAAGCGGTCTGCTGGGTTTTTTATTTGCACTTCCCTAGTTAGGCTTAGGCTTAGGCCTATGCTTAGGCCTCAGCCTAGGCTTACGCTTACGCTTTGCTCAGGCTTACGCTTACGCTTAGGCTTAGGCTTAAGCTTAGGTTTTAGGCTTGGGCTTAGGCTTAGGCTTGAACTTAGGCGTATGCTTACCTGATCCTTTACCTAGCCAACGTTAATCGCGACCAAATAAACAGCGCTGCAATCTCGTGAAAAAGCCGACTGCCAAGAATAGATAGGCGACAAGATACGACAGGCCGATAGCGTGGATGGATGAGCGTCTACCTGGGCCCTCGTGGGGGGCTTCTCACGATTCTAGGGAGCAGAAGGCAGGCTAGAGACCCGGGGATTGACCCTTTGAAGGAGACAAGCGAGGGGGACAACGACATACATACATGTTTTCTGGTAGCTTTGTCGGATGAAGTGAACTAGGGAGGGCAGTAATAAAAAGTAGAGAGGGCCCTCGTTGGGGTGACAGGGGCAGGCCAGGTCCCAGGGGATCCGACTGGCAAAGTGATTTGTCGCCCGCCGACACCCCGCACGGCGACGACCCCTTGGGGGGAATCCCCGCGGTGCTTCTGGCGGAAAGGTGATGCTCATTTTTATGGTTGTTTGGAATTGGTGATTGGTTATTGATAGTGTTGCTTTTCTTCATGCTAGAGGCATAGGCCGGCTGGGCAGCAAAAAGTGTCGCAAGCTCTATGCCATCGATCTTGACATGTGGCTGTGGCGTTTGGAGCGTAACGTTCTGATGTGCGCTTGCAAGTGCTCAAAATAACTCTAGAATATTTGGCAGTCAGTGCTCTCCCAGTCTTTTGCAATTTTGTTCTTTTCTGTTTTTAAAGACTATATAAACCTGACCGCCTAATAATGTAAATTTTGCTGAAAAAACTAAAAGCAAAACATAAATTCTAGTCGTAGCAATGCCTTCAGATGTGCTTGTGCTCCCTCCGTGATTAATCGCTGTGCGAACACATGCCACATCAGCCAATTTGCATTGCAAGGCGTTCCCCCATCCTTTTCAAGGATCAACATCTCCCCCCCTCGATGGCAATTATTGTCGGCTGCTAAAACAGCCAGACTTCACTAGGAGATTTTGCGATTTTTCGGAATTTCTGGCGGCCCCGGGAGTTGTGTGAGGATGGAGGGAAGGCTAGTTGGCGGTGGGATGGGGAGGAGGAGGAGGAGGAGGACGAGGAGGAGGAGAGTGGAAAAGGAGGAAGAGCTGTGTGGTGGGCGGGCACATCATCCATCGCTTCGGCTTTGTGTCCTTCCTTCCCATTCTTTGCCACGCGCATACAAGTTGGCTAAAGATGTAAGAGTTTATTCCGCATAATTTGTAGCTTATTAAATAATTTAGCGTTGAAACGTGGATATTCAAATTTAAATTAATTCCTGCAGCTTTCGCTTCTTCTTTAAAGCATTGTAAAACCTGTTTTTGATTTGCTAAGTTAGTTGTTGTGCAAATTCAAAGATCTAGCGTTGGCAGCCATCTTCATCCAACCCCATGCTTTTGGCCTCTTGAGTCTCGGCCCGCTAACGACATTCGGGGCACGGCCACTAGCAACTCCTCGTCGGCTTTTTCGAATCTCCCACTCTCTTGCTTTTAGCGCTAAAAAAGTAGATAAAAACTATTGTTGTGCATGGGTTCATCATGCTTCCTTTCACGATTTGGATTATTTGCATACCACTAAATAATAACGCTATTCCACATTGTAAACGCTTTCGTATCGTAATAATGGAATTTTTGGCATGAGAATGAACATTTGCATATTTTCGGAGGTATTCGCTTTTGTATAACTAGCACCAGACTAAAAACTGAAAAAAACGATTGGCCCTTCCCTTGAAAATAGCAAAAATTCACCACTTTACCACTGCCATAATACCTCTATCACAATCAATAATCTCCGCATCTTGCCGTTCGCCTTGCCGGTGATGCCCTTCGCGCAATAGCCGAAGAGATCAATGGGTGGCGCCTTGTGCGAAAAGAGGGTGTGGGTATTTCATATTTCATGGATGTTCTTCCCCAGGGTCGGCGGGCCCGACGACCCGGTCCCCGGGGAGTCGACACCCTCCCTCGGCCCATTCTCCCTCAATTCAGGTGTATCAACCTTCTCTTTTCCATCTCCTATATCCCCCGACTAGCTCTACTATCATTCACGAGCATCTTTCGGATGACTTTTTTCGGAATTTGTTAGGAATGTTGTTTGTAGTTTGGACTAGTGCTCAACCGAAAGCCTCGTCAAGCCATAAAACACTTTAAGATACCTATTTCCATTTTCAATTTTATCGTTATCGCATCTATGCCGAAAATATCCATCAAAATTCCAGCAGCGACTCATCAGATGTGGCGACGCAAGCGGTTGCGGGCCCATCGCATCTTCCTCATCTCGCTAGCGGCTTTACTGCTCTCCCTCGTCTCGAGGTCCATTTTATAGCTTGGCAAGAGGCATAAATAGGTCGGCCAGAAGCTGTGAAGGGTATTTCTTACTTCAAAAAAATTGGGGTTGAGACTAAAGCATCAAGAAGACCAGTCTCAATTCGCATAAAGCGGGATTTGCTTTAAAAATTATCGTTAATAGCAGCGTTGCCGGCGGTTTTTTGGCATAGGTAAATGAGGTCAGATCTACACGGATCTTTCTGATCTCTCTAAAAAGGTTGGAAATTTCCAATGCTGCATTTTCAGGCGTTTTTTTCCAAATCCGATCCCAGACTAGTTCCCATGGCTTTCCCATTCTAAGTTGCGCACTGAAGCCGAAAGCTCGCGCATATGTGTTGATTTTCCAGGAAGTCAAAGTATCCGGGGTGTAGGGTGCCATGAGGAGCCAAGAAAAGGAAGGCGAAGAAGCTGCATGTGAGGGACGATTAGGGGAGAAGATGCAAGGGGGGCGTTGAGTCGACGCACAATCGATGGGCGACGCTCACTCTCCCGGTAATCCCCACGGTGTTCCCGTTGCTTCAGGGAAAAGCAGCAGACAACTTCTTCCGGCCGCCTTAATGGCAAAAAATAGGCGAATTTTGGTGCTGGTTAAGCTGGGGGAAGTGTTTTGGGTCGTCTGGAGAAACAGGATAGAATTAAACTATCTTAGAAGTAGGGAAGCCGATGGCTAATCCTAAGCTCAATCCTAATCCTAAGCCTAAGTCTAAGCCTAAGCCGTAGTAGTACAATTCAGGCGTTTCTACTAATACCCAAGAATAGTTCGAAATTTGATCCCTTCCCCCAATTTTATCGCCCATCAAAATGTTGCCATCCTAGGCCAAGATCGCGCTAATTACATTTAACATCCAATTTTCAGCTCGACCGAAACTCGCGGCTCTTCCTACCATAATGCGACAGCTCTCCTATCATCGCTTCTTGACGAATACGACATTCGATTGAGGCCTGGCTTTGGAGGTTTGGATTGGGATAGAGAAGGAAAAGACATTCCCGGTGGATCCTCTGTTCTCCTACGGACAATGCAATTTTTGGCACCTCCCCCCAGAATTCAATTTCATTGCCATCGATTCTTGGGGGGCTAATCAGCATTAAAGGGAGGGTGTCGCTGGTGTGTGATGGTGAAATATGGATGAAGGAAGCGATGAGATCGGGAGAAAGGGAGAGAGAGGCAGAGAGAGAAACTGATAGAGATAGAGCGAGAGAGATATTAAATAGCAATAGCGGCTAAAATTGGTTACAAAATACCCTTCAGGTGATGCCCTACTACTAACAATGGACATCATCATTGCCTCATTTGATTCAATCTCAGAAGTGGATATGGTAATTTATCTCAGCCACTTCATAAACTTTTTAGGATTACACGGTAACCCTATACCTACATCAATATTGGCGGGACGAACGGTTATCTTGGACCGATGATCCGACAGCCATTGATGAAATGACGCTTAGCGGAGATTTCTCATCGTAAGCGCCAGATCAGGACTTAACTAGTTACAATCTAGCCGAATATGGGTACCGGATACGTTCCTTGCCAACGACAAACACTCCTTTTTACACGATGTCACAGAAAGGAACAAGATGCTGAGAATCACGAGGGATGGATATATTGCATATGGAATGAGGTATAGACGACGTTTATTAAAATATTTGTATACCTTGCAAGGTTCACCTCAACTCTCGCTTGCAGTATGGATCTGAGAAATTTTCCTCTTGATTCCCAGAATTGCACAGTGGAAATTGAGTCTTGTAAGTTTACGCCTTACCCTAGAAACAAAACAATTCAGATGGGTATACGACTTCTGAAGTCTTGATGAAATGGAATCATCCTAACGCTGTGCATGGTGTCGATTCCGCCGAAGTACCGCAATTTCGAATATTGGGATATCAGACCGATGATAGTATTGTGACAACCGCTACTGGTACTTTAGCAGAGTCGTTAAAAAGCTCTCCCATTTTAGGATCATACCAGCGCCTTTCCCTTGTCTTTCAATTAAAGCGTTCTGTGGGATACTTTATTTTCCAGGTATAATTATCCTTAATATTCAAATAATATTCCAATTTAGACGTACCTTCCTTGTGTTCTTATTGTAATGCTTTCCTGGGTTTCTTTTTGGATCAATCATGAAGCTACTTCAGCTCGAGTTGCTTTGGGTAAGCTTGGTTTGGAAGAAATTGGCATAAGCTTTTAGGAATCACCACCGTGCTCACGATGACAACGATCTCTACTGGCGTTCGTCAGTCATTACCAAGAATTAGTTATGTAAAAAGTATTGATATATATTTGGTAAGTTAAGAATGATTTCGTCGACCAAAAATTATTTCTAGGTAATGTGCTTCGTCTTCGTTTTTGCGGCCTTGTTAGAATATGCAGCTGTGAATTATAATTATTGGGAGCGGAGAACGAGGAGGTAATAAAGTTAAAGTAAAAAAAAATCATATTTTTTTAGTTCTTGTAGAAGTGCTGATGAGGGATGGCCAGGTGGGGTGAATGCAAATGGCGAGCTGCAACGTGAGGCTCAGGAAGGAGTATCTTGGGGAGTCCCAAAAACATTTCAACAGGTTCGGGAGCATATGATTCATAAAAAACCAATATTATATTTAGTTGTCACAAGAAATCAGCGATCAAGAAGCAAGGGAAAAGTCTTCAGGCGAAGGAACAAGCCGAGAGGTACAACTTCAAATTGGTATTCGAATATTTTTTAGAAAAAGCGCCCCGCTTCTCCTCTACCCTCACTTTGTGCTCATTCCAATGCCGAGATTGGCGTATTATCACTAGATGAAGTGCCGGACTATCCGCGCTACACTGCCAATCCAGCCATGCACTTGAGAAATCGAGCTCAAGCTACTTCAAAGTAAGCTAGATATCCGAATCCAACATTAAAATTTAGGAATCGAAAAGTATTAAGTAAAGCGACAGCTCTGAAACCAGCCGCTCTCAAATCCTCCGTGCATAAAGCTGTCAAAAGGTAAAATTCGTACTTCCAAAAATTGGCATCTTGATTCAGAGCTCGAGCTGTGATGCCCTCCCTGCGGGTCCGCGACGTAAACGTCATCGACAAATATTCAAGGGTCGTCTTTCCACTATGTTTTATCATATTCAAGTAAGTTCTCAAAATCTAATTCGCATAAATACTTTTTAGCATCTTCTATTGGGGCTACTACACTATCATGCAACAATGGTAGCATCAATCAAGCCCAAAATCTATCCATCCAGGAGCTTTCCGGCGTGTCTTTTCTTGTGTAATTAGCATTCCGTTTTTTTTATTAAATTATACCCATGCTCAGGTCAGGTGAAATAGGCTTTGTAGCGATGAATGTGCCATATTATTCTATGTAATAAATTTGTATTGACAATTTATATGGTTGTTTTTGGTGCATAAGGGGTGGACGGTTAACCTCGGAGAAGCCGCTCTACTCGCTTGTCATGCCGAAAACTAAAGGAAAACTTTTTTAGTAGTTCAGAAGCAAAAGGTATTTCTATGTATACAAATTAATGAAACGATACCTGAAAACGGCGCCCGCAATCGGTGATTTTGTATCGTAGGTGCATAAACATGTTCGCATCAGATCCCATTTCGGCCGCCGTTGCACACAGAGCGCTGCCGAGTGCGGGAAGCAACGGTGGCATATCTAAAAAATATAAAAAGTGATTTATCGATTTTTAAAAGCTACCTGTCTACACGTCGGCGCGACGGGTAACAACGCACTAAAGAGAGGGGCGCGCAACTGGCTTGCGTCGCAGCGCTTTGCTCTGAAATTGTTGTAAAAAGATCTTTTCTCCAGACTTACCGTTCTGCTGCTGTCAGCTGCTCTTCGATAATGTCGAGTGTTGGACTTTCTGGAAATGGGAAATTTCTTTCAGACTAGTCGAAGGGATTTTTAATGACGAACTATCGTCTTAGAGTGAATTTATAACTTCGTAATGCAACGCAAAATGTTTAGGCCGTTTTTATGCCAAAATAATTAGCTTTACGATACCAGAAATTACATAACTTCTTGCTAAACGCTAATTTTACTAATAATTCTAACCTGCCAATAACGGGAGTTCATAGAATTCCGTAACATCATCCTCCAAACGGTGACCCGAATTGCCATGCAAATGATGTAGACGTTCAGGGAGGAACGTAGCTTAAAAACCACTTTTCAAAAGATTACTTAAGACTTACAGTGCTCTTCGCTTTTGATGGCTTCACAATATTCGGACCATTTAACAGCTGTACTCGTAGAATGGAGGGCCAGGAGGACGGTGGAAAATCGAAGGATGCTACCCAACATCCTCCCGCCGCCGCGTTGCACTACCGGAAATATGCTCGTAAAAAACACAGATTCAATTAGAGGTTGGATTAAAAAGAAAATAATTTACCACGAAAAAGGGCAGAGTTAAACCCACTGATTTGTCCTGTATAACTTAGTTCGACGTGCAGCAGCCCTTGGTTCGCATAAACACTCCATTCCTTTCCCCCTTGCAACTAACTGGTCAATCAAGTAACAAATCCACGAGAGTGGTCATAAACCCAAAAGCAAGCCCCCAGCTATACCACCTCCTAAAAGCCTAGCCGATTCCAAATGCCCCCGCTTTCCAATCACAACCCCAAAATCCCACACCATGATGAGACCCCCGAAAATCCCTGACGCCGCCCAAATCAAAAATTAATTCTATTTCGGGAAGATTGATGATTATTAGTGGGTGGACGACGTAAGCCGCCGGCCGGGGGACCCCGGAAATGGCATCGAAGGGCACGAAAAATTGAAACGAGACCCGGACCTCCTTGAAGCGGTGGCCCCGGACGTGGAGGGGTTGCCGGCTTCTTCTTCGGCTTGTCCAAGCGACCCAATTACCTGGCCAAGACCTCTAGCCGCTAGTCGAGTCGGGCAAACCCTGTTTTGCGTGGGCAACCCAGTTTTGGGGCGACCCACTTATCGAATTTGAACCGAATAATTTGGGTTTGAGGCTATCTATTTGATCTGAGGGCTAGGGAGGGGTTCGGGTTTTCGGGTTGGTCATGGGGGGAGGTCGAGTTCACACGGATTTGATAGTCTGTTTGAGTCGAAGCAGCTTTGGATAGTCTGTTTTTTTTTGATACATTCTAGCTTAAAAATCATAAATATAAGTTTTTAGTTTACTAATATCTAAGATTTTGAAAAATGCATGTGTTTTCTTGCATGTACAGTAATCTGGAGACCATTTTGCATCTAGTGATGTATGAAAAATAGCCCTAAATTTTTTCTCTATTAAGCTATCTTAGAAAGTATCTACCTAAGAAAGTTGCATGCAAATTTATGCACAAGCAGTTACATTGTTATCAGTATCAATATAGATTTCGACAAAATATGATAAAAACTAGTCCTCATAAATTCTTAAAGTAATCAAAAAACCTTCCCCCACAAAAAATGACGCTTCCGGAAACGTTTGATATAGACGAAATGACTCAAGCATTGGGCTTACTGGGTCGAGAGCCCCCGGAGTCTCTTCTGAAGTCCCTTTTGAAGTCGGGTCGCGTTCTACCCTAGGGATTAACCCATCAACTGCAACAAACGGGGGTGGGAATTTTGAGAGTGATATTTTTGGGAAGTCGAACAAGCTACGCGTCACTTGTGAATGCGAAAAGTGAATTCTAGGCTGGGGCAAAGTCCGAGTCTCACTTCCGCTGGGCTCTATTTTGGTAGCGAGTCCATTCCAGGGGTTGAGGAGGGGGAAAATCAATCTTGTTCGGCTGGGGAGCTGCTAGAATAGATGGAGAACCTGGTGGCTAGGTCTTAGGGCTTTGTTTTGTGTAAATTGCTGTGTTGATTTGAATGTGCTGGAAAGGGCAGTTCCGGAATAAATTGATGGTTTTGTTTATTTCGTTGTTTTGCATAGAAAAGGGTAGAAATGAGATTGCAAAATTCGACTTTCTGCATATTTTTAATCATCTCGTTAAATCGTTCGCAATAGTTTTGCTAGATAAAGTTCAATTTTCTCTGCTACTCTAATTTGTTGAAGATGTTCAGATGGTGTATTTGGGTGGGTGCGAGGAACAGAATTCGGAAGTGTCCGAGGGCCCGTTGACAGCTCGCGATCCGCGCGATATATAGGACCGTGGTGGGTGCAGACGCGGAAACGTCTCGACAACGGTCGGTTTTACCATCACATTTCGCCACATCGACGCCGTTTCCCTAGATTTTAGCGTATGTTGCACCTTCAAACAGCAAAAATTCCTCAAACACATCAACATCCAAACATTGTTCATCCGAAATTACATATTCCAGTGTTGACCATTCACACTACAAGTCACAACAAAGAACAATATCCCCTATTTCCTCCTCCCCACCTCATACCTCAGATTCTAGGCCACGCTCAGCCGGTTTCTCACTTTTTGCCACACTACCCAAGCACTCTACCGTGGCGAAAGTCGACAGATTGTAACACCCCCGTCACCACAATACCCCCCTACGCATAATGCTCTTTTTTTTGTGAGCCCCTGTACTGGAATCATGCCCTAAATCTCTTATATAAAGGTGCCGCCGGTCGGCAGTCAAAACAAACTGAGTTGCATCTGGCAATTTAGCTAACACTTGATTTCAGATGCTACGTGTTGTGATTCTAGCCGCGTTTGCTGGGTTGGCCGTGATTGCTGAGGAGCAGGTAGGACTAGAAAATCTCTATTCTTCTATTTCATACTCTAGATCCCTTGCGGGCTGCCCCCATTTGCTGCCAAACTTCCGAAGAAGCAGGGAGCTGAAGTGAACAGCGTAAGAAAATTTAAGTTGTAAAACTACGATTAATTTAGACATGGGAAAAATACACTGATGGCCCCTGTGATGAACTACAAGAGAAGACCTTTGCCATTTTGGATACGTTGAGCCCGGAAGAGCGTACGGCCGTTTTTGGAGCTCCCCCAGCTGGTAAGCTTTGAAAAGTGAGCAACAACTATTTAAAGCCATGAAAAATGAACGGAACTATGCTTTGGGTGCAAAATATTCCTCTTCCACTTCCAACCTCCCCCATTCTATCCATTTTTCAGCCGCCGACGCTTTTGAGGACGGAGCCCCGCTGTTCATCCGCATGATGAGCGCCGAGAACAAAAAGGTGTGTGGGAACAACACAAAAGTGTAGTTATTTATAGGCGTTTGATGATATCTGGCTGAACAACGGCATCGAGGATGAGGTCAAGCACAAGAAGGTCGCCGAGTTTGCCAAACAAAACTTCAAGGGAGACCAGGTGAAGTGGATTCTTACAAGTGGCAGTTTTTTAGTCTATCTCTCAAACTCTGACTATTAATGCGCTATTTTCTAGCTTGCCAACTTCAACACTTGGTTTGACGAGGTCCGCCGCCACAAGGCTGCCGTTGACGAGCGCATCTCCAAGCTGAGCAAGAAGGCCAAGTCGACTTTGAAGAAGATCATCAAGGTCTGTAAATTTTTCACTTATATTTTAATCTTGATTTTTAGATCCGTGCCCAGGAGCAAGAAATCATGTCGAAGATGAGCACGGAGGTCGCCCGAGAACTTCATGGACTAATTTAAACAAATCTTTTTACAAAAGCATAACAGAATAAATCTATTTTATGGCATTTGCTTGCATTTACATTCGATTCTGCAAACGACAATGCATGTACAAGATCATAACTGTTTATTAGGGTGCTGGGAAAAAGTGCAATTACTAAATGCAAAAAAAAATAGATTTTTTGCATCGACAACCGGCAATGTACTCGATCGAATGGCCACCGAGGGCTGGAAGCAAATCGATTAAATAGGAGGATATGTTAGAATTCGTTTCCGGGGCAAGGGGGAAACTGGCGACGTCACCGCAGACAAAAACGGCAAAAATAAGGTGGAAAACCTTGACGATGACTATGTAGAGTGGAAGAAGGACTAGATACATCTGGGATTCATTGGGCGCATGTATGTCAAATAACAAATAATGATTAAAAAGTGCAAATTAGAGTAGCAAAAGGGCCATTATAGAAAACAGTCCTATATACAGGAAGATATCAGCTATTCGGTCATCTTCAGCGTCTTGTGGGTTTAGGGGATGTTGGTCTTGTCCAAGCATTTGGGCAAAGACACCGAATGGGAAAAACTAAAACAAGAATTTAGCAGAGCTGGTCTTAATAGGTTACTTACCCCAATCCCCAGAGAAAAGCGTAGACCACCATCGCCATATTGCTGCTGTGGCTGAGGTTCAGCGCGTTGTCCGCGGGGTCGAGGAGGGATCCGTGTACGCGGGTCCTCTTTACTCCCACCACGTCCGTAAATTGGAATCACCTGGAACAGCACACTAGCTTTCTTTGTAATATTAAGCCAACCTGATCGGATTCTACAGCTGATTTGCATACGGGGCACACCTGCCCTCCGGGACGTGTGTCCAACCACTGCACCAAGCAACTCCAGCAAAACAAATGACCGCATCGCGTCACCACCGCGTCTTTGGCCATGTCGAGGCAAATGTTGCAATCAAATCTGAATTTGTGTAATTTTATAGATATTTTGGGATATACGCAAAGTACTAAAGAGGTAATCATCCTGCAATTCAATTTTATGAATATTATACTTACGGTTCTTTGTTGGGGTTCGAGCCTTCAGGCTGGTCGGAGCCACCAGCTCCTCCTCCATCATTTCCCGGTACTCCAAACGACTGTGTTTCCATTATTTGTTGAAAACCCTGAAAGTTTACTGGCATTTAAGGTATATTTAAGGATTAATATGTTATCAGAGGATTATAGGACACCTTTAACACCATTTTTTTTAACAAAAACCGGCAAATTTATTAATTTCGAAGTCCATTCGTGTATTAATTGACTTTAAACTATTGATACAAAGAGGGCAAACTTTTCTTAATAATCGTAATCGATTAGCATATATTTTCTTGCGTAACCGAATCGAAATCGAGTTTCTACCGGCTATTAAAAGCTATGCTAAACGAGAGTATGACTTGGCCAAGAAATAAATTTATGCAATTTCATAATGTAACCGAAAATCTGGGCGCAAGCCAAAGTTCACGGGGCGGCCATTATGGCATGGGTTGTAGTGAAAGGGGAATGGAGTACGAGAGATAGAAGAAAAGAAGAGAATGGCCACCAGAAAGGCCCCCTCTTTTGATGTGCCGCTACACAGAAAGGGGCGCGCTATAGAGACGGGCAAACGGGAGTTTTATCTCATAAAAAATAACAATGGGTGGCTGTACATCATCAGATTTGGAGCAAGAGGATGCAAGGTAAGGAGTTCAGCTCTTCGAATTAAGCAAAATGCTCAAAATTCTAGAATCAAAAAGTTAAAGTTGCATCAAATAAAGTTAAATTCAAAATTTGACTCTCGACCCTGAATTGACACTCAAAAGAAAAATAAAAAGTTATTCGACGTATCAAAAGGTCATTTCCAGGCTTCAAAGTGCTTCAAGACGTACGCGCCCCAGTCGCGCAGTTTTTGCTATGCCACCAGGTATCTCTTTGAAATTTTGAAGGCGTTGTTTTGTATAAAACTGGGATTTCCATCCCCCCATCCTAAGGATTAAAATCGGATAAAATGTAAGGCACGTTGATTTTGGAATTCAGCGAAGTTCGCAAAAACTGAATTTCACAGGGTAAGTTTGATCCCGAATACGGTAACATTCGCAGAAACAATGGAAAGTTTCCGAAGAGGTTACCAATGCTTCGTTTTAGGGTTGAAATTGCTGCCGGACATGTAAGGCCTATGACATCACTTTGGATATCCCAGGTATCTCATAAAAATCTCATCACCCGGCTGCGATTTGCATAAAACCGGAATTTCCATCCCTTCCGCCATCCCAATCAAAGTCCCCACCCCCGCACTTCCTTATAGTGTCAAAATTTCCCCTCCGCACCCAGAACCCTCCACCTGCACCTCATTATGCAGTAAGTGTGTCGGAGTGTATCGGAGCCACTGAATAGCTGTGGCCGGCTGTCTATGTCGTGTGCTACAGACCCATTGGGGTGACCGGATCGGGCGCGCGGAAGATGTTCGCCAGGCGCATGTTTCATGCACTCACCTCCTCCACCCCACAGCCCTTCTACAAATATTTGAGGGGCAAAAATTTGCTGCCGCCCCGCGCCTCGGCAGTCCGTTATTGGGGGCGCGCGGGTGCATTTCGCAACTTGGGCCCTAGGGGTTACAGTATTCGTTTTTTGAACATTTTGAACATCGAACATTTTTTGGTGTGTTTAAGAAGTATTGTAAGAATTTTTTGCTTAACGCTGTAAAATACGGTGTATAAACACGGCTTTTCGTACTAGAACCTAAAATTAGCACTAGACTGAAGCCGTATGATTCAGCATTGTGTTTTAATCCGCGATTTGAGGTGTAATCACTGGTCATTATGGTATAGAAATCATCCTTGTACTTTTTGATTTCTGATTTCATTCCTTAACTTCCTAGAAAAATCATCTTTTTGATGAATCACGATAAGGTATCATCATTTCCAAGCCAGATAAATGGGCCGATACATTCCCGAAACTACTGACCCTCCCGAACCTGACTTTCTCAATTTCGCCCCGCCTTCTATTTGACTTTTCACACCCCGGACCTTGTAGCCAAACAAAACCAGTATGCCCACAAAATAAACGAGTCTTATGAGGAGTGCGGACTCCCGAGCGTGAAAATCTGCGCCTCGGATCTCGACCTTCATGTCTCTGCGACCCGCATCCCGAGCCTCGGCGGCGCTCTTCTTTTTTTGCGTTCCCCCTCCTTGGACCGGCGGGAGGACGAGGCATCCTTAGGCTCAATCCTGACACATTCCTGCATTGCATTCAAGATAATTCTCTCGGTCTACAGGTGCTAGTTTCTTGTCCCGGAAACCGGTTGATGACCAGCCGGGCTTTCGCTAGGGGGGTCCGGTCTTGCGCGTACTTTTATCGTATCTCTCTTTTGTAATGTTGATAACAGTACTCTAATGGAACTGGTAGCTTCAAACTTCGATTACAAGTCTTCTGAAAACTAAAAAAGCCTTTCACCGTATCCCTCTGAGATATTATTCTAGTAACTCTTGATAACTTAGCTCTCGCCAAGCGTGTTCTATTTCAGTAAATTGAAAATAGCTTGTATGTTTTTCAAATCCTACTTGACGCCCACTTACAATTTCGATACTTCCGAAAAATCAGTCCCTAGCCAGATTTTGAGCCTCCGAAATCCCGATCGAGGTCAAGTAGTGGAACCGGGATAGTCAAGTACTTTCCGTCTGAATTAACATTTGCCATAACTCAAAATCTTATCTTAAGCCTACAAAAGAGCTTAAATATTTATCAACCTTGTCTAGGTGATCCGCTGGCCGAAAATGGCAATCAACATGAGCGGCAACTTCATGAAGCTATTATTCCACTTTCGGAGGCACGATTTGGTAAGAAAACCCCTTTAGCATTTTTCTCCCCTTGTATCTGCATCCTCTACCCAACACCCACCTCTGCCCTTCTCTGTATCAACCCCCAAAATCGATACCACCTCTATCACACGAGAACCAAAACCCCGAAACAACACACTCGATTTAGCTAGCGTTCGAAGAGGAACACCGCAAGCTGTTCGCAAAAGCTAAGGAAACTGTAAGTTTGCTTCCATTTCGGTATCCTAATTTTCTAATTATTAAGGGCGATCATGGACCTGTCACTTCGCACTACTATTCCGTTATGTCAACAGTTATTGATGAATATTTCAATGGGAACTTCCATTTTGCCGCTCCGAACAAAGGAGAGAAAACGTTGGAAGAGGCATTGAAGGGACTGCATATGGTATTAGAAATAAGCAATATAGGAAGCAATAAATTTCAGTCCATTAGTGAGCGATTGGATTTGAAGCCTGGAGTTAGTTGTATCGATATTGGATGCGGCATTGGTAAGTTAATTAACGAAAAAATGCAGACAACCATAAATTTAACAAAATGAGTATTTTAGGTGGCGTAATGAGGGACTTGAAAGATACTGGAGCTACGCTTACTGGAATCACTATCGCTGGAAATGAGGTAGAGATTGGTAAGTTCAAAGAAATTATACAGTTCGCGGTTTAAGGAAATACGGTGTTCCAAAAATTGGGCATCAGCGAACGGTGCCGACTTGTCGAGGCGGATTGCCACGATATGCCATTAGAAAATGAAACACAGGTTTGAAAAATTTGAAAAAATGCAGGCAACGATTTTAGGATGCAGCCTACGCCATCTATTCCCTGAAATATTTCCCGCAACTCGACGGTGTTATGAGAGAGGTAAATTTTGGGGGAGGCGCCCGGCCGGAAATTGATCGTTTTTAGGTTGCCCGGGTGCTAAAAACAGGAGGAAAGTTTGCCGTGTACGACTTAATCAAGACGGCCAAATATTCGGCGGAAAACGAGGAGGACCGAGAGGTGGGATTAGAGGGGATGGGGCTGGGCAGAGGCGGATAATCTCTACGTGGTTTAGGTAATCGAAGGGCTCGAATATGCCTGCGGGATGCCCTCGTTGCATACTCGCGAAGAAATGGAAACAGCCGCCGAGAGGCATGGCTTAAAACTGGTATGAAGGCAGCTGGAAATTGGGCACAATCTCAAAATTACAGGTGCATTCGGAGGATTTGTCGGCGGAATCGGGGCTGCCATTCTATTTTTGTTTCACGCACTCGCCGCTCTTTATGTGGATGGTCAAGAGTGCGGCGATGAAGGCGTTGATACAAATGGCTCAGGTGTGGGAAAAGAAAATTAGAAAAAAGGAAAACAGTTGCGAGTCTCTGACCCTTATCTCCAGGACATTCCTGCCCTCCAAAGATAAAGCTAGTACTACCCCATCAAAAGTCAAACTACTTAAAACTATTTATTTTGCAGCGGCTCCGCATTTTGCCCAAAGGCTTCCACGAATTCAACAACACATTCCTCTCTGGAACCGTTGATAAAATCGTCGAAGGCGGTCGTCGCGGTATCCTTTCCGGCTCCGAGCTTTTCGTCTTCCAGAAAGCATAAACATAACATTTTATTTATGTAAAAAAGCTTTATTATCACGGCTAAGATGTGCAATGTTGATATGGAAAATATTGAATCCGAATAAATAATTGAATCCCAAGGAATTACTACTACTTTGCATGGCCTTCCCCAAAGAATTTTCACCTAGCTAACTTTCTATCCTTATTAACAAATTTTATCTTAGAAAATGCCCGCTACACGCGTCGGAATTATTGGTTATGGTAATTTGGGTAGGTATAGTATTTGAGCTGCTTGATTCGTGGCGTGATCTAGGAAAATTCCTGCATGCCGAGCTCCGGAAACTGCCAGAATTTGAGGTGGTGAGAGTATGGAATCGCAGTCATATTGATGGTATCCAGCCAATCGAAGAGATCAATGAGAAAAATTTGAAGTAATGTAATTAGCATAGTTTTTAATTGCTATTAAGGGACATCGATTTGGTCGTCGAAGTGGCGCATCCTGACCTGATGGCGACGTATCTAGAGACAATTTTGGCTCATGCTGATCTTTTTGTAGGCAATAATTATAGAAAAAATGTGTTAGTAGATTGGTTCCCCAACTTGCTTGGCGGATGATGGACTCATGGCTACGACCAAAAAGTTGTTAGCTGAGAACCCTGGACGACGAGTATTCGTCCCGGCTGGAGCTTTTTGGGGCGGGAATGACATCCAGAAAATGGCAGAGACCGGGTTATTACAGGTAATTTGCATATGGAAATTAGCCATAATTTTTGTTAGGCGCTCACTGTCACCATGACAAAGCATCCAAATTCCTTTAAACTCCGCGAGCCGTTGGCGGCAAAGAATGAAGAGGCAAAGGAAGGGGATCAGCCGGTGGTTTTATATGAAGGTAGAACAATTACCATAACATTAAATAGGTATTCAAAGTTTAGGACCTGTGCGCGACCTCTGCCCCATTGCGCCTAACAATGTTAATACCATGGCCGGAGCTTCGGTTGCTGCCTTCAACCTCGGGTTTGATGGCGTCAAGGCTAAACTGGTTTCGGATCCAAAGTATGTTATTAGACTTTTCATTTTGAGCTTATTTTTTAGACTTCACGACTGGCACATTGTAGAGGTACTCGCGGAAGGGCCGGACGGGTTTCAGGTTTTTTCAAGGCGCTGGAAATGCTAAATATCTTCTAGGTGCATAGTATCAGGAAGAATCCGGCAAAACCTGGAGCTGTAACAGGGCAATTGACGTACTTTTCGTTTTTATCATCGATTAAAGGTATCGTTTTGATTAGAGTTACCATCAGGCCCGAAGGGAAGGGCAACTGGGGCAAAGTTGCCCCCCAAAATCGGCCGAAGGCCGAAAAATTCATAAGGGGGGACCCTTATGATTTTTTTTCCTCAAATTTTTTTTTTGCCTGCGGCGCTTTTTAGAGTTGTTTTTAAGACTGTTTTTACTGTCATGGCCCTAAGTTTTCAAAAATTTTCGCCTGCGGCGCTCTTTTTGATAGTTTTGGTACGTTGCCAAAAATTTTTTTTTGGAGTTGCCCCCCCCAAAAATCCGGGGATCGCTACGGCCCTGGTTACCATAACTTTTTATAGAAACTCGCCACAAGCCCGCCGGACTTCAGATTTGCTGAAACTGCAAAGTTTTACCTAACTAATTGCTCAAAAAATTTTATGTATTGGTGTCTAATTTGCATAAAGTTGTTATCCATCAGGAGAACTTGTCGTCCTTAAATTCTAATTCGCATAAAAAATGTGGCACATCACAAAAAAATCCGCATCCAATTGATTTCTCGAAAATTTCAAAAATTAATTAACTGGCCCCGAATTCAGCAATTACCGGAATTACCGTAATCGAAAAATAAAAAGCTCGTACTACAGTTGTCATGCACGTAAGAAACGTGACTCATCAAACTTTTCCAAAACCTCACAAAGTCGGCGTGACGCCAGTTTTGTCGAGAAATCGTTCGAGACTGACAATGCCGATAAATACAAAGAGGTCACCTACTGGTCGTCTCTCCGCCTTACCCTCTGCTTTTCCCTCAATGCCTCAAGGGGGGTTTCGTTTGGATGGTGGGCAGGACGGAGGTACCGGTTTCCCCCCGCCGGACCCTCGCGCCATCCCTCGTTGCCACTCGGCTTCTCCTCCTGCCGTCGGCTGAGACGTCAAGTTCCTCGCCTAGCGTGACACAAATTGCACCTTCTAATGTGCGGCATGCTTTTCTCGCTTTATCAAAGCCGGACATGCAAATTTTTGGACCGGTTTTGTGCGCTTCATTGATTTTATCATTCTATCTCTAGTCTACATATTTATAATGAGGGTTATTGATGATATGGGATCTTTTTTACAAGGAAAATATATCTATCTACACCTTAGATGACTCGACTCATACTTCTACTCCTCATCCCCGCCACCTTTGCCCTCGATCAAAGCATGGCAAACGAAAACGGTAATTTAATCAGTTAAAATGCAAATGTACCCATAGTAAATTCGTTTGACGCTGTTGATGCCGACAATAATGGCTGGATTGATTTCCCCGAATTCAGCAAATGGGTACGCTCACGAAATTCAGACGAAGCCCGCCGGTCCATCAAAGGTATAAATTTGCCCACAAATTGATCAAATTAACACTTTTGTTCTAGAAATCTTTTCCCAATACGACGTTGATGCGGATTCTCGGCTAGGCGTCGCAGAGTTTGTTCCCCTTGCCTACGCATTTTCCCAGAAACCAGTCGACACCGAGGAGACCATTTTCAAGGTTGGATGAGCCCCCAGAATGGGATACATGCTTCACCTCCCGAGATTTGAAATTATTTCCTGGATTAGGGCATAACGTGTTTTTAGCGAATGGACAAGAACGGGGATGGAACTATTGATGTTGGGGAGCAAGAGGTCTTGAGGAGAACTGGGGAAGGTATCAAGTAATCCTCATGCACTCGAAAGCCCTTAGGTGCTGTAATTGATGGCGTTTTGGCTGTCGCCGACACAAACAGAGATGGTCGCCTGGATTATTCTGAATTCCAGAAGGCACTTTCACAAAATCACCCAAAATCTCAGGAAGAGAAGGATCAAGATACTGCACAGAGTATTATTACTTATATTGATGCGGATGGGGATCGCTTGTTGAAAAGAGATGAGGTTCTTCAGTTTGCTAGGAAATACTCCAAGGTAATACTTCTTCTATAGCACTATGTTCCCTTTTAGGTGAACAGCAACGAAATCCATCAGGTCTTCGGGCGTCTTGATTCAAATATGGACGATGTGCTTGATTTGAATGAGTTGGCTCGATTCCCATCTACTCTTACAACCATGCTCCATCTGGCGCCGCCGCCAACCCTATCTTAACTTATAATTATTTTTATTTATGGGATAAATGCTAAAGACTCTCCATCTTGATTACAAAATGCGCACCTAAAATACACAACACGTTTCAAACCACTTCATCAGTCCTCTGAAACGCAAAGCTGTGTGTCTGTGTGTTTTCATCCAGTGCATTTTTTGTCTACAAAGTATACGTTCATACATGTTTATTCAGCCCAACGCAACTGCGTGGCATAAATATGAGATTTAGTTGCCACCGCGCAGGCGGAGCACCAAGTGGAGGGTGGACTCCTTTTGGATGTTGTAGTCCGAGAGGGTGCGGCCATCCTCGAGCTGCTTTCCGGCGAAGATCAGACGCTGCTGATCCGGAGGAATGCCCTCCTTGTCTTGGATCTTGGCCTTGACATTCTCAATCGTGTCAGAAGCCTCGACCTCCAAGGTGATCGTCTTTCCGGTGAGGGTCTTGACGAAGATTTGCATGCCTCCTCGGAGTCGAAGCACCAAGTGAAGGGTGGACTCCTTCTGGATGTTGTAGTCGGAGAGGGTGCGGCCATCTTCGAGTTGCTTGCCTGAAAATGAGAAATTAGTTTGTGATTTGAGGCATTATAAAACTTATTTAGTAATAAACCCACCAGCAAAAATCAGACGCTGCTGATCCGGGGGGATGCCCTCCTTGTCCTGGATCTTGGCCTTGACGTTTTCGATGGTGTCGGAGGCCTCGACTTCGAGGGTGATGGTCTTTCCGGTGAGGGTCTTGACGAAGATCTGCATACCTCCGCGAAGTCGAAGCACGAGATGGAGGGTGGACTCCTTCTGGATGTTGTAGTCTGAGAGGGTACGTCCATCTTCGAGCTGCTTTCCGGCAAAGATCAGACGCTGCTGATCTGGGGGAATTCCTTCCTTGTCCTGGATCTTGGCCTTGACATTCTCGATGGTGTCGGAGGCTTCAACCTCAAGGGTGATGGTCTTGCCCGTCAAAGTCTTGACGAAGATTTGCATGCCTCCTCGGAGTCGGAGCACCAAGTGGAGGGTGGACTCCTTCTGGATGTTGTAGTCAGAAAGGGTGCGGCCATCCTCAAGTTGCTTTCCAGCGAAGATCAAACGCTGCTGGTCTGGGGGGATTCCTTCCTTGTCTTGGATCTTGGCCTTCACGTTTTCGATCGTGTCCGAGGCCTCGACCTCGAGGGTAATCGTTTTTCCGGTGAGGGTCTTGACGAAGATCTGCATACCTCCGCGAAGGCGGAGCACCAAGTGGGAGGGTGGACCCTTCTGGATATTGTAGTCGGAGAGGGTACGTCCATCTTCGAGCTGCTTTCCGGCAAAGATCAGACGCTGCTGATCCGGGGGAATTCCTTCCTTGTCCTGGATCTTGGCCTTGACATTTTCAATGGTGTCGCTGGCTTCGACCTCAAGAGTGATGGTCTTTCCGGTAAGGGTCTTGACGAAAATTTGCATGCCTCCTCGGAGTCGAAGCACCAAGTGGAGGGTGGACTCCTTTTGGATATTGTAATCGGAAAGAGTGCGGCCGTCTTCGAGCTGTTTGCCAGCGAAGATCAGACGTTGCTGATCTGGGGAATTCCTTCCTTGTCCTTGGATCTTGGCCTTGACGTTCTCGATCGTGTCGGAGGCCTCAACCTCGAGGGTGATGGTCTTTCCGGTGAGGGTCTTGACGAAGATCTGCATGCCTCCACGAAGACGGAGCACCAAGTGAAGGGTGGATTCCTTCTGGATGTTGTAGTCGGAGAGAGTGCGGCCGTCCTCAAGTTGCTTTCCTGAAATGTATTGCGTAATGAGTTGCACTTGACATGATGACTTTTATTGCGACAGTCAATCGATTTGTAATTGCATGATGCAAGGGAGTTTCGAAAGGCGCTTCGTGGCGGGGGCTAGGCAAGGGGACGAGAGGCGCGAGGGTATTGACTTTCGATAGTCTGTCAAGGGGAGTGGGGGAGGATTGGGATACGCTGCCTACTGGAATAGAGAAACCCTCGACGTACTACGTTTTACAAAACTAACATAGAATAAAAAACTAACCGGCGAAGATGAGACGCTGCTGATCCGGGGGGATGCCCTCCTTGTCCTGGATCTTGGCCTTCACATTCTCGATGGTGTCGGAAGCCTCGACTTCGAGGGTGATGGTTTTGCCCGTGAGGGTCTTGACGAAGATTTGCATGATTGAGCGAGCTGAAATGAATGGTTTAGATACAGTGGTCAATGGGAAAAGGCTTCAGAAGTCAAAAATAAAGTTGAAAAGTGTTCGAAAGAATCGAATGAGAGTGCCGAGCGGCTTTTAGGTTATATACGGAAGCAGCGGAACATTCGAGAGCGTAACCTTGTGAAATCGGGTCGATAAGGCAAGAGGTTGGGGTGAGTAAATGAGTCAGCTGGGCTGGGCTGAAGGGGGGCGAATGGTGAAATGATTCTTTCGAGGCCAGTCAGAGACTTATATACGGGGCAGGGCGGGGCCGACACACCATGTGAGAGGGGACGATCGATAGAACGACGAGAGATAGAGGGTGGGGAGGAGGGAGCTGACGAAAAACGATGTGCAAATAGCGTCCGCCGGTCTATCTGCACTACAACCTTGAGGTCTGCCTAGGGCAATGCCCGCTTGCCTACCAATTGATACCATCGGTAAGTGCGTAAAAAAGGGCAGATAGGTTGATAATTATGCATTGGTGGGGACCGATCGATTTAGCCTCGAGGGAGGGGTCAGTAGCATCTGCATTTGCATCTGGTCAATAAATTTGAAATTAAGAAGAGTTGTGTAATTTCGTGGCAATTACGTTAGGTGATGTTATGGTAAAACTTAAAGTGAAAATTTATAAATTTGGCGGTTTTTGCTTAGAATTCCCGAATCATTGCTGCGGCTTAATTTTTCGTGAAATTAAATGTAGAACTTAATGAATTTCTGTATCAAAGCAATTTCTGAATAAAAGTACTATACTGGTCGCTTCGCAAGCTGGACGCTGCTTTTGCAAAATTTTTATTATTTTGGCACCTTCGCGTTTATTGAAGATGTAATGTCGACCTTTTTTGTCCTGAACTCACAAAAAATATTTGTCAAACTTGGTTACTGGCCAACGCTTCGATTTTGTCGGCCGTCGATGGGACCATCACGCGCCGGTGTTGTCAAAAACATAGTGCACCCCCGGCGACGAGCAGCTTGTCAACAGTCTAATCACCGTGACCCCAGACTGGGGCTTCGCCCTCTAATCTTTCCGGGTTGAGGCTTTTCAAAAATCACGCCTTTCCTGGTATACTAATTTTGGAAGGGATACGTATTAGTGTATGCGTCATTTCATGTAAGATTGCGTCAATGATTGTCAGGGGGCGTTTTATTAAAAATTGACTCATTGGGCAGACAGAGTTCAGTAAAAAATTGCGTCTATTAACATAATTAAAATCAGGATGAGTTATCAGCTTATAGTTGATAAAATCTTGAATTTTATTGTTCTGGAATTCCCTGAGCAGGGTGGCTAAAAAGCTTACGAAATTTATTTGAAACTTCGGTAAAATCTCTTTAAATCGCGCAGTTTCGTAGGTTCCCGGATAGTAGGTCATCATTGTTTAGACATATTTGCTGATGTCGGGAGTCCAGAATCTACAGAAACCTTGTATTTCCGGGTCTTCGAAGCTTGTGAGAATGTCCAAAATGCTTACCCATTTTATTTCAAAACTGTGACAAATGTGCAGATTGTACCTTGTAGTGCCTTGTGGTCAGTATAGACTACACATCGACGTAGCAGTCACCAACTAGAGTACTTGCCAGATCAATACCCACGGGGGAAGGGCTACGGCCGGGACGATGGAGGGGTCCTCGTGGTCCGGGTGACCGATGGACAAAAACAACGAGAGAGAAGGGTCTACGAAGAGACAGCCGACGCTCTAGAGGTCCAAGTGGACGGGGACACGAAACCTCGCACAACCCCTCACAGGGCATACAGCTGCTAGGCTGCCCACCACCAGACACCAGACTCGACCCCAAAAACGGGAAGGCAATGGGGACCTCGCGGACTACAGCCACCAGCTGGCATGAAAAATAGGAAATAGGGCTGGGTAAGGACAACTGGGGGTACATTCTAGAGAGATCACACGAACCTGAACAGGAAATAGTGTGGAGGGATATTTGATAGCAATGAAAAACTCGTGATATAAATTTACGTAAACTAAACATTGTCATACGTTTCGGATCGTCTTTTCTATTCTTTTTTTAACTTTTCTGTCTGATTCTTCTCTTTAACTATCTACCTCTATCGCTCTCTCATTATCTCTATCACTCTCCCTTTGAGAGATTTTAATTTATAAACGAAAAACTTACATCATGAAAACTGAAACAAATAGAAACCTACAACAATTGTTGCCTTTTTCAAACAGCAGTAATGATCATAAACATTAAAGCTACATCCTGTACTTTTGTGAATACCTAATTTGCATAACGATTTTAGCAACATACCTCATGTCTCGAATCTCTGTGTTTTTTTTTGCTAAGAAGCTCGTGGCAGGTTTTTATTTCCCTCAATAATATGCGAAAAATGTCTTTATGGGAATGAGCCAAACAACCGATGCGATCAATCCTTGTAGCGCTGATCCAGCTTCTTGTAGACGGCATGTGGATGCATGGTAGCGCGATTAGCAGTGGAGTAAGGCGTACTTTGGCAGACGAACATCTGAGGCGTCTGGCAGCTCGAGACGTACCAGTTTATCTGAAAAACACGAATTAGATGATTTACAAATTCCATCTACCTTTGATCCAACTTGCTTTGCGTAAATACAGTCACCCTTGAGGGTTGACATTAGGAGCGGATGAGAGTATGTAGAGACGGCGGCGGAGGACTGGATGGAAAACTATTTTAGAAAAAGACAAAGAGTTTGCTTACCGTGCCTTCTCTATCCCAATGGACCATACCATTAGAATAACGCCCTCCAAGCCAAAGTGAGGCGCCCTCCCAGTTATTGGCTAAAATGCAATGGCTCAAAAAATTGAAAATAGCGCTCGAAAATTAATAATAAACTCAAATAAAATTACTAACATTTAAACAGAAGTTCATTTGTCATATCGTCTTTTACAACTGCCAAATGAGCTCCAGGATGAGCCGCAGAACACGCTTTGTCCGCAGAGTCACGATCTAGGAAGATATAAACTATCAATAATCGAATACCAATCGGAACCGAAGCCGGTAAGAAGCATCCAAGATCCGGCGTCTTCCGGGTGTTGTTCGACAATGGGAAATGCCCAGGAGCGCAGTAGCAGTTCGCTAAAATCTGGTACCCAAACCAGTCTGGCTAGTTACCGTCACACAACGCTCCGACCAGGTCCACGACGTGCAGGCTTTCCGACTTGGTACTAAGGACGTAGCCGGAAGAAGCAAGTTGATGGATTGCAGGTACGGCAGCACCGTGCGTCGAGACGAATTCTGTATAGTTTAATTTCGGGATTTTATACACTATTCCCCTAACCAATCTATTTTCATGTACGGGTTCATGCGCTGAAAAAATGGATTTCGAAACCAAATTCCCATTAATTTCGCAAGAGCGGCTTGCACATTCCTTAATGCTTCAATGCATCTGTGCAATGCTAAAACGCACCCTAAAATTATCGACATGTGCTGGACGCCTATATATAGAGAACGGAGAAGCTTGCTTGCATATTTCCATATTTTTATAATTTTAGATGTTACGTTTGTAATGCTAATTTGCATACACACTGAAACGGCTGGATCATTCTGGGGAAAAAAGTATTAAATTCACCTATGGCAATCAATACACCACCATCCTCCCTGAAGTCGTTGCCAATCTCGATCGGCATCGATTCGATAGTGCTAGAAAACAAATAAGTGCGACAAATGTATTTCAAACTTTAGAGAAGCTGCAATAAGAACAGCTACTTTTCGAACATTTGGACGATGATCTTGTTGGAACATCTCGGTCGCTTTTCGCAGTGCACTAAATTATGCAAATTGCAGAATTCTAGAAGTTTACCTCTCTGCATCATTAGTGGATGATCCTTGGAAAGGCAGAGAAAACGAGTCTAGCAGATGGGCCGTAGAGGTGAAGCCTGTTAGGTTGGCAGCGACAGTCTGTGAAATTGTCACTTCAAAAAGGATTTAATTACGATTTCCCCAGAATATGCAATAGCACCGACACGAAGATGATCTTGGCTGATTCGGGTTTGAAGCAGGGCTGTTTTGACGAAGTTTTCGATCTAGGAACTTGTTTTAAAATCCTGTTATCACCACCTGCTCAATGCCATCCTTTGACACAGCATCCGTACTTTCCACCACAAAAATCAAGTCCAACCACATTGTCTCGGGCCGACAGGGGCATTGTGTAGAACCACCAGCCGCAGCGGAAACCGCAAATAAAGCTAAAAACCCCGAAAATCAAGGCACAGCTATTCGATTACCTAAGCACCACGTCAAGAACACCTTCATGCCGCCGCTTGACACAGTGACTGTTTCTGATGTCGCGCGAGAACTGATTCCACGACCCTTATCGCCCCTCGATTTTCGGCTAACCCGCTTTGCCCTTGCTGTAAATAACTCGAGGGTTTGGGCCAAATCTCCTTTGCCGGGCGGGGCAGCATCGGCGAGGGAGGGCTGGGTATGAAGAATCGGTTCGAGAGTTTTGTAAATTCCCTTGGGAATTGGCGTTATTCGGGCGTCAAGGTAGGGAAGGTCATATCGGGTTTAAGACATGGCTTTTACTCAAGTTTTGAAAGCTTTCAATAAGAGTTTTGGTTTAAAAAAATTTCTTCGGTTTCTTGTAGTTGTAGTAATTTTATTTAAGGTACTAAGTTAAAGTTGGAAGGGATGTTTGTTAAAATTACTTTTCCAGAACCAACACCAGAGAATTTTCGCTGCCTTATCTACTCCCTCATAAATTATATAACCATTCGACGCAACGATTTTACAAGCATCCTGACAGTTTTATGACGATCAGCACAGCCAGAAATTTTCTTTTCATTCCAAACTCCTCGCACAGCCTAGCGGAACCAAAATGATCCGAGCCAGCCTGGTTGTCTAGTCCGCCTATACCCCGGTAGAAAACGGCACAAAATGGACCTGAAAAACGCTTCCACATTCCCTCGGTGATATCCGGGTTTTTTCTGCGAACTCCATTCCTCCGTCGGCCAATCCAATCACCCGCACAAGGGGCACGAAATATGCATAAAGAGACCGGGCGGCGGCCGGCTTCCGGTGACCAGAAGAACATAAGGCGCCTGGAGACATTGTCAGCATTCTCCCCGTTTTTTTATCGCAACTATGCATGAAGCACAAGCGTCTTAAGCTACGTCATGATTATTTCTTAGCGGAATGTCAAATTCGTAACGTAGAAACTTCTGAATCTCGAGATTAATAATGCCGAAATTTCGAAATTCGAAATTAGGACGCCGAAATACTGTCGAAATCACAATATGTGGAGATTTTGATTTCCGAATCTAGAATGTCTAAAATGCATACTGAAAAATATACTAAAAATAAACACATTAAAATAAAAATCTCGAAAAAACCTGATACTACTAGAAACATTTTGAAGTTAGTAAATTTCGGCGCGATAAAATTTCCGCATTATGAAAATTGATATTATGAATCAACTCTCCAACCCCCTCATGATCCTACCCCGGCTCCCCAGTGTTTATCCCCGATTCCAGAGCATTATCCCACTGTGAGCTCGCTTTCATCTAGCCCACGGCTTACCGACGAGACGATGCGAAAATTGATGAATGCAGAGGGGAGCGGCGCGTTGCTTTTTTGCCCTGAAAATCTTACAAGTCGAGCGCGGGCCCCCAGGGGGGTCTTCTATCAAAGCCTTGCGTCGATTATCTCCTGGGATCTAGACGCTGGCAGTGTGGGGTTGATGCTCCACCTTGCAAGGGCGAAGCGGGAGCTTTGCTTTTTTGCGTTGTGACGTGATGGGTTCAAAGTTTGACATTCGTGCTCTTTGAACTTTATCAGGGTTAAATAGTTTTTATGACTTTTATGCACCAATGCTTAAGAATTGGAAAACAGAAGTTTCTCAGAAAATCTGTTAAATCCGAGCTACGCTTTTGAGAAGTGCCACTTGAGAAAGAAAAGCTCTTGAATCTGCTAAAAAAGCTTTTTACAAAATTGACTCAAAGCCTTCTGATTCCCCCAATCCAAAACACAGCCCATCCTCTCGACCCGGTCCTCCATTTTTTGCGACTGGTACATAACCTCCGTTTTTCGAGTCCAATATTCCCCTAGTGCCCCCCCCCCCGCTTGCTGACTCTTGGGAAATCGGGGTTGAGCGCGTTCTGGCAGATCTCCTCCTCCTCCCGGGGCCGCTCCATTCCCCATCCGGGTGGTCGTAGCAAATTCGACGAGAAAATGGCCCGTCGCGACTCAATGGCCAGGCTTCACCTCCCCCCCCACCCGGCATCACCGCCCTCGTCGCAATAAATTCGGCATCAGCCTCTCACCTGTCCCGAAGTCGCTTTTACTCAACCTCACCCACCATCCTCTAGCCACGGCCAAAACAGACACCCCCTCGGCTATACCCCCGAAATTAGAGAGTCTTCAAGCTTCCCATCGACGTTTCCCATCCATCAGGGCGAACTCCGGAAATTGGATGTGTTCAGAAATACTTAGAAGAGCACCGCCTCCGGATATTTGTATCTTATGGAAATGGTTTTTGTAGAATGACCTTCCGATTCCAGCCATCCTCGGCTTATCCCCCCTTCATTGTCCAACGCCCTTTTGTCTTCCTATCCCTCATTCAACCCCCACCGAGAACTCTTGCACCTCAATTTCTTGCAAAGGTTGTCCTTACCTGTGTTTTGTTGCGTTACCCCTCAAAAGGAACCAGAATTTCAAATTCTTTTTTCGGAGCATCCTATTGGGTATGCCGCCAAAAAGCTATTTCCAGGAAGAGGCGTGTCAAAAAAGCGGGCCCACTAGGTCATCCTCCATTCATTTGTTTTTTCGAAGAAATGAGTTTCACATCCGGAAGCTATCTAAGAGCGTTAATTACTTTTCCGGCTTTCCGATCCCTGACATAAACCGCCACCTATTTTGAGCATTATTCATCGCTAGACCCGCGACTACAGCCGGGAGGCCCAACCCGGCGCCCATTCATAAAATTCTTGCAGCAGCGATTCCGCTATGGGAGCCGTCGGGGGGTTCAGGGATTTATTTCGTGGTGCCGTCGGTTTGGGGCGGGGGGTGAAAAGTAAGGTCTTTCCAGACTTTCTGGCTTTTCCATCTGCTTCTCCGGCCGCTCATGCCACTTCCGTCGTGACACCCTTCCCAAATGGCTGCCAATTCATCCGGCGCCTCCAAATATTGCACCCGCTTCAGCGAGCCATTAATGCCTGGGACCGGGTGTGGTGGCCGAGGGCGGTGTGAAAAATAATATTTTCCAGCTCGGCAACCTTGTTGTCGACGGCGGAAGTCAAGCAGTAGATAATTGGTTTGGTCGAGTCGGAGAGGGGTTGAAGAGAGATAGAGAAAAGTTACTCCGGCCAAAAAAGGGTATCAATGACGGGGAGTCGCATCTTTCTGTTCAAAATTTTGCCTATCTTTCTCTTTAGAGTGATGGTTTTTCACGCCTTTTCGGCATGTCGAAGGCTGAAATTTGAAACTAGGTGCCGTTCAGGAACGCAACTGTTTTCGCTCTCTCTGTCTGCATTCCCGTGACTTTTCCGGGTGACTGATGTTAGTCACACTCAGGTGATGGTGTTGTTTTTAAAAAATCAACATACAAATGAACTTTAAAAATTAATTTTCAAGGTGATTTTTGTTAAAAATAGAGATAGCCATGCCTCACTACTTCTAAAAGTTTATGATGACAACTACCTACGCGCTTATCCTGTCTGATTCACCTCTAAATATCATCAAAAGGTTACTGTACTTATCACACCGATTTGACTTGCAGAATCCGTCCCAATCCGCATTTGCAAGACCACCTCTGCAATCCTATCTTATTTTCAGAGGCCTACGTGGTCGTCTAGGCCTTTGCGCCCTCCATCACCAATTCCACCGCTTTTAATTAATATCCGAGAAAACGTGCAGACAAAACAACACGACAACCGACGACATCTAGCAGTTCAATGATCCTTAATCTATCGTATCTAACCTTCAGAGCCTCTTGCAGGGTAGGCGTGGCAGCAGAGTCTGCTTTATTCGGGGAATGGGTTGTCGCGTGTTCCGTCCATTCTGTATTCTTCGTCGGCTTTTCCACAAATTGCTCCCTTTTGGCTGGGCTTTTGGGTAAAAGCCCGGGGGGCGCAGAGTAAAGAAGTGGGGGTGGGGCGCTGAATACTCGCCGCGTCGCCTTTTGCGCGACCCTGAAGTGGCCCATCATTAGAACATTAGCACCCACCCATTACTCACCACACACCCTTACACTTCACCTTTCCCTTCAAGGTACGCCTTGAAATGGCATGCCAATTTACACTGCGGAGGTATATTTCGATCCCTGGGATGGCATGTCGTTACATATGTCGTCCGGGGGATTTTTATGGCTTTTTGAAGCACTGCCCGAATTTTTGTGGATTGTAGAAGAGATCTTTTTGGAGCGGCTTTGGAGTTTTTGCTTGAGACCAAGCTAGTTTTGAGCAGAATAAATAATTCTGAGCAAGATAACGTTTGGAACATTTTCTAAATCACCGTGTCTTTCGGAAAAAAATTGTTTTTAAACCATTAACTTTTAAGGGCAATTTTTCTAACGTTTTATGAATTAACAACGACTGGAATTCAGCAATTCCACTCGAGAAATTCAGGAACTTTTGTTTAGAACTTCAATCATGCTTTTATTTTTACTTTTTCCTTGGAACAAAGCTTGATCCCGGACTCTAAACCGAACTCAAAAGGACGTATTACATGGTGAAAAAGTACTGTCCGGTGGTGACCGTAACGATCTACTGTTTTTTTACGTCCCTGGGCATGGTTTCGTTAAGCCGACCCCAGCGGCTCCTTCCCCAAAATTTTCTGTTTTTCCGAGGTTAGGAACGATTAGGTATTATCTAGGGAAATCAAAGCCATATTTTTATATCAAAGTAGGTCTGGGGCTGCTAATATCCTTCCGAGACAAAAGCTGATAACTATCAGGAACTGACCATTCGTCTGATACTTTATCTTGTTCAATTAATTTTGCTCATCTCATTTTGCTAATTTATCAGACCAAAAAACGTTGTTGAACATATTGAAAAAGACCTTGCATTCAAAGCAACGCCACACGTGAAAGCAATTTAGGGATGCAGTTGCGATGTTGATTAGGCGGGCTTTGGTGGAAAGTTCATTCTTGCTTTCTAAAGGGAAACGTGAAGGGGAAAGAAGGCACGCGGCTAAATTTGCCGGACAAGGGGGGAGTGTTTCTTTTATAATTAGCCAGATGTCGCGAAGTGATTTGTGACTTCATTCAAATTATCTGAAGGGCTTATTGGACGGGTTTTTTGTTGGATAAGAACACTTCTTCTTCTTCTTCAAAATATTTTGTTCTCTTTAATTTTGTTTTCCATTTGTTCGGGTGGTGGGGACCGGAAGAAGCATTCGATCATTATTTCAGATGGCGGTCTGCGTTGGGGATCCTCCTCTATTCGATTTATCTTCCAACAATACACTAGCCTTTTTGGAAAGATTGGAAATTTTTAGTCAGTGGGTTAAACCGTTATATTCTTTCAATTATGCTGATTTCAGATCTTATACCAGCGTGCATCGTTGGTTATGCCTTTGGATATGCTCATTTGGCATGGTATGCAATGCGGCTCATATCTTTGTGTTATCGAGAAAGCAAATGAGGATATATGCTATTAACAGTAGGAGCTCAATTTCCTTCCATTAATGCATATCTAGGTATTCTCTGCGTGATGGCGGGTTGTGACGTTTTGAAAATGGCTTCATATTTGATCTATATCATTCGATTTAAATTTCTAGACAATGATGCTAATAATTTTGGGTTATATTACAGGACCTCCAAAAAACAAAGCTTTAGTTATACTTACGCATGGCTGGTATTTCTCATGTACCATGTTGTAGCATCAATTGCATTGCATACAGTCTCTTTATATTTAACTGTTATCATGGCATATATAAGGTAATTTTGGCCTCTTTTTATAAACTGGTCTTTCAGATGGACCGCTCTCGACCGTCTAGACAGTAAATGGGTGCGCAGCCGCTCAGTGGGGTAATTTGCATACGCCTTTTCTAGAATCCATATTTTAGCCACATATTTTTCTTCACCTGTTTGGTGGTCGCTGCTGTGTCAGTCCCAACATTAATGGTACACAGAATCGTTCCAATCCAAGAAATTGATTTTATGCAAAATAACGCAGTTTGTTAGGAAAATTCGATTGATGATGTAAAATTTTAGTCTGCTGGTTTGTATACGGTCACGTTGGACGAGTTGGTGTTGGCAGACGACTGTTTGCTGTTCAAGATTAATCTATGGCTGACGGGGATTTGCTTCAAGGTAGGGTATCTGTTTTTGTCTTAATTTTCCGTTTAGGCTTTTCCCTGTGTCTTACTGCTCTGGTTTACTTGTGCACTAATCCATAAGCTCTATGTGATGAGTGAGAAGAGGAGGAAATTGAGGGGACAAGATCCACCTTCGACCACTAGTGCTGAATGGAGTACGTTGGCGACGTATACAAGGTAAGTATCTCTCTCTCTCTCTCTCTCTCTCTCTCTCTCTCTGTTTATCTTAAAATGAGCCCCGACATCCGAGACAAAATCAAAATATGTTTTCAAATTGTTCGCGCGACCTAGTAATTAGGAACGAAGTTCGCCAGACGTTCCCGCTTCCGGTTTTGAAAATACGCAGTTCGCGACATTTCATTGGCTAATTAAGGCTTGCACACTTCCATTGGATCATAAAGATCAAAGGACCGTTTAGAAAGAAGAAAGTAACTGTCGATAAAACAACTGTAATGCTGATAATCATGTTGGCCGTGTTTCTATGTACCGAACTACCTCAAGGTAAGCATCTACCTTAAGTCAAATATTATTGTTGCAGGACTGCTGGTAATTCTCAATGCAATTTATACAAACCACGTCCATTATTATGTTTATTTGAATCTAGGAGAGGTATTTTTAATTTATTGATATTTGCAAAGTTCTTAAGGTTCTGGACTTGCTCTCACTTGTCAACTGCAACGTCGGATTTGTACTCTATTGTTTTATGTCTTCCAGATATCGAGCCACATTCCGAGCTGTGTTTTTAACACCATTAGCAAAAACCCCAACTTCGAACACCTATAATTTACATTCCTTTAAGGCCCTTCTCAATTAAAATGATTAAGATTTCTGCTTGTAATATTGCAATTTTTCCACCTTCTCGGGTACCATACGGTCTCATTAACTCTGGTCTCACAGCCTTGTCAGTATGCAATTTTAATTTTCTGGCTCCAAGAGCTTGCTGTTCCCTTGTGAACTCCTCGTCCATAACCAAATCATTTATACTGTTCAATAAGCATGGGAATGTCAATTAAATAATAAGCTACGTATCTTGGCAAACTATGAAAAATCTCAATAATAACTGAAAGGAACGGAAACTGCTACCCACTATCCAGCAACCACGGCACAACAATTATATGCACATCATTTGTACTGTTGTGGTGCGTCAAGTTCCGGAACAAATAATGGAATAGAATCTGGACTATAAATTAGGGGAATCACTTGCACTAACACGATATGATGCTGGGAAATGAGAAACAACGAGCAAATAACAAGTTGAATCGAAATTAAGAATTGTTATTATAGTCGCAAATTAAGGATAAGTAATCTCGTTAAGACTGGCGGAAGCTTGCAGAAATGATTGCTACGAAACTACTTCTCCTGAAGTGGCACAGCTTCTTCATCATCTTTCGTCGGCTCTGCTTTGGCCCAGTTTTCGACGTCACCCTAAAATATATATTTGAAACGACATTCTTATAACATAGTCTTAGGCTTAGGTTAGGTTTAGGCTTAGGCTTATGCCTAGGCTTAGGCAGTGCAGTCGCTACCTTGGCCATCAGCGAGTATAGCACAGCTCCCACAACCAAAATACCAGCAGTCAACCACATGGCCATTTTCCATTCCTCACGCGTTCCCTATAAATATACAAAATTAGTCAAAATATTTTCATATTCGTTTTGTTTACAAATAGGTCTTTTATTAGACTTACATTCTTCGTCATCGCTTCCATAACCAATGGCGAGGCAATACCTCCAAAACACGACAACGTATTTCCTATTCCCATAATGGTCCCCGAGAATGGCGGGGCGATATCGAGATAGTTGACAACAAATCCGGAATACTGTAGCGGCATTGATAGAGTATTTTTTTTAATCTACCTGGAATCCTGAGAGACCCGTTCCGATAATCAAAAACACAACAAACAACATTTCCTGTCCACAACCACAGTGAGCGGCAAGTACCAAGAATACTGCTTGTCCGACCAATGCTGAAAAATTAGTTTTCTACGTCAAGTTTTATTTGTTCTTACCCAACATCATGGCCAGTCTGCGGGTGTTCACTGTGTTTAGAATATTCCCATTTCGAAGGTAATCAGCCCCGGCTCCGCCGATGTTGATTACGACAAAGTAGGCGAGGTAGGGAGCGGCAGAGAGGAAGCCGAGCTAGATAATTTTTATAGATATGTTTATTTAACATACCGAGCTCAAGTTAACGCCAAGGACATCCTTTAGAAAAGAGGGAAGCGCTAGCATCATCGTGTAAGCACCCCAATCTCCTGCGAAGTGACCGATCCAGCATGCCCAAACGGCGCGTGAGGTCAGAAGGCTCATCCAGGGGGTCGCGCGGGGCTGAAAGAAAAGTGTTAGAATACCTTAAACTATTATACCTTGTCGGTACTCTTGCCCATCGTCTCTTCCAGCGACGATTCGATATATTCGGCTTCTTCTTTCGATATCCGGGTGTGGGTGCTTGGCCGATCGGAGGTAAAGTAATGCCAGCAAGCACACCAGATAACCCCGAAGACACCTAGAAAAAGTTAGAAACCGTCATTTTGCGGCATACCGAAAGAATAAAAAATTGAGGGCCACCCTCCGTCAAACCCGTGCTCGCACAAAATTCCAGAGACCGAGAGGACAAGCATGTTTCCAATTTGAGCGCCTGTAAATGTGAATATCGTTTTATTTAAAGGTATACTTACCGGCATAAGAAACTCCCGTAAGTACAGATCTTTCCAACGGTGGTCCCCAAAGAGCCCACATGGTGTGCATGGCCGGGAATGTAGCTCCCTACGGCATTCAGAATTTAAGGGAACATTTTTCGAGCTCACTTGTAGAAAACCAATAACAGTACGCAGAGCGTAAAGTGCCATATGATGCGTACGAGCGGCGATTGGACTGAGCAGCGTGAGAAGTGATGAGCCGAGCACGGTATAGAGAATGACCCGCTTGCCGCCAAATCTGGAGGCCAGATAACCGCCGAGAATCTGGATGTCGTTTGGATTAAATTTTTAATTAAATTTAAATCTACCTGAGAGCATAGATATCCATTGAAAAATGCGCCTAGGATGCTACCCTTCACTTCCTTTGACCAATCGAATTCGGCGATGACCTTAAAAGGAAATTAGAATATTGGAAATTTTTTATTTAAAAGCGTACCGGATCCGTTAGCAGCATCTCCGGAACATCGTCTACAACGGCTGTCGGGTCTACGACAGCACATTGACTGGCTTTCTGGAATTAAAATTAAAATTGTATTAATAACTTATTTTCAAATAATTACATTTCCGATTTACTTATCATTATTTTACCTCAGTCACATTTCCAACATCTCGCCTCACCATACACACAATTGCCATCGACAAATTTGTACGTAGCGCATAGGTTACGAGACATCCCACAAAACATAGCACTGCCAAACCCAAGCGGGTTGATGGGAAAAGCGCTGAAAAATATTTTTTAGGTCTCTAGCTTAATAGCAATTTTTTTAGCGGATCTTTTTATGTTTTAGACGCTTATTTCCATTTTTTCGACCCTAAAGTGTCGCGTTCTTTATGCTAATTTTCGCTTTTTCTATTTTTCTTTGATGTTTACTGCTGCTAGGCGTGGGTGCGTGGGCCTCGATACCCGCGCGAGAAGCCCTCTCGATAATTCTGGGGGGTGCTCGTCGAGATAATAGAGCTGTCAAGTGCACCTATACATAGAGACCCCCCTACCTCGGCTACTAGGGTATTGATTTGTGCATGAACACGGTTTTTAGAAAGTTGAAAAAGAAAGAAAATGATAGCATATAACTTGATGCTATTCACTAAAACCAGAAATACGATTTAAAAGTTAACTTCCAATAATGGCATTGTCAAACATTTTTCTTGACTTCCCAAGCCCTTGAACTACGCTCTCTCCGAAGTACAAGTACACTTTAGTCCCAAAATCTTCCCCTCACAGCTAAATCAGCCAGGCAGTAAATCACCCATTTTTCTCAAGCTTTTTCTATGGTCAATTGATCCTGAGGGTACCAAGAACCGGCGAATGGCCGAACGGCTAAAGAACTCACGTGGCTTTTGCCCGGGGACAGCCATTTGTTTGCGGAAATCGGCGGTGGCCCTCTCTGCAAAAAGGAATAATACGGATTGTGTAAATAAATTGCTTCGGATTGAGAAGAATGATGAAAACGTGCGTTAAAAGGTCATTAAAACGGTCAAAAATTACTAATTAAAAACTTAGAAAATTGCTAGAAATCCACATTACAGTACCCTGGTTCAGGTGACCTCTAAAATTTGAGTAAAAAAATTGACTTGTGATTAGGAACTAGCTGGATAAAGGCAGCTGCTTCAAAAACCGAAACGAAGTCATTCTATTAAAGATTCAGACACATGAAGAGGCGATAATATTTTAAATTGAGTTCAACGACAATGAGCGACGAAAGCTAGCCGATTCTCCCAACCAAAAATGGGGTCATGGGTCGGCCAATGACACTCAGTTTTCATAAGATTCGGATCTCTGTACACTACATCGCAGCCTTTCCGGCTCCCCTGAAAGAGTGCTGTTGTACTCCCTGGATAAGTGCCAAAATAGAAAAAGGGGCCCCGCTAATGCCCGTGGAGGCTTTGCGGCTGCTGACCAGTGAGGGATGTGAGGAAAAGAGGGTGAAGGAGGTGGAGAAATGGAGAAATGGGGGGAGGATGAGATGGTGGAGGGATTGGGGATGATGGGGAGGGGCCAGGGCCCTGACCAGCAGATAGACAGACAGACACACATACTGACAGCCTCTCTTGTCTACGCCTTTGGGCCCTCTTTTGCCTCTAACCAACAGGCTGGTCCTATTGACCCGGGTTGGGGAGGAACGGGGAAGGGTCAGCTAGGTTGGGTCAGTGGCTGGAATTAGGCTATGCAAATAAGGGGTAAAGCTGGTTGTTTGATTAATAGGGCATATTCTTAGGCTTACGCTTAAGTTTGGGCTTAGGCTTAGGCTTAGGCTTAGGCTCAGTTGGTTTAGGTTCTAGTAGGTGGAAATCGGCCAATCGGAATCGCCATAAACACTTTACACCTGACTGCGCTAATTTGATACGGTCTCCCGGAGACTCAGCCCAATTTCTGGATCAAAAGCGATGCTAGAATGCTTTGTTAAGCTATAGAACGCGAATATTATTGTTATTCAAAAAGTAATAATCTAAACACTAAAGCCGACAATCTACAAATACCCCCGCAACTGCTAAACCCTTCGCGAAGACGTCTACACTAAATGCACCTGCCAGCCACGCCTCGCTTAGTTTTGATTAAAAAATATTGATCGCAGCTTTAGACCCGATGATAAAATGTTTATTAAGGAAAAAATACAGTTAATGAATACAGTCACGCTCTTCACCCTCGAATTCTCCTTCCAGATTCAAGATTCCGATGTCGAAGTAGTGGCTGGGGCTCTCCCTAGACGGATAGATTAGCCTTTCGATCCCTCCCACCTGTCTTTGATGACGTAGCTTTTGGGCAAGTGGATTGAGACTTTACGTTGACAAGGCTGGAATTAGAAAATTTAGAGCAAGGTAACAAAGAAATGTAAAGGCTTAAATATACCTTCCCATCTTCACAATCGTGATAGATATTCAATTTAGGATCTATCGTCAAGAGTTCTGAAGCGGTGCCATGCAATAGGAATTGGCCCAATGAATCTGTTGTTCCCTCAGCCATCATGTCGTCAAGATCGGGTCCTGAATTAATAAAATTTACATACAAAAACATATTAGCGAAGAGCCAAACTACATACCGGTATCGTCATCATACAGCTTCACTTTAACGTTTTGAGCCGGAACATTTCCGCACATCAAAACACCACGAACTCCGGCTGTTTGCTTGGCACAGTCACCAAGATGAAAAACAGCAATAGCTATGCAAAAGAAGCTAGCAGTAGATACCATTGCAGTGATATAAAGTTTTTGTGAAATGGCAGAGATGTGATATCGACCGGACTAATGGGAAGGAAAGAAATCAGGCTCGCGCGGGTTGGGAGAATTATCTGACTCATCCAATAACGAGGGAAATCACCCACAAAGAACTGGTTTTTGTGATTCATTGGTTTTTCAGGCGTTGATTACAAAAATGAAAAGTTGACCTGCAATAAAAAAAAGTTGAATTAAAAGCTACAAATTTGTAGATTTAATCGTTCCTCCAAAATTCAGATTTTTCAAAAGTTATCGATTCGGTGAATTTCAATAAATCTCCTTGTTTTTTCTATCTATCAGGTGACTGACCAGAGTGACCCCTCGAGGATCGAACAGTTGTTGCAAGATTTACGCATTTCGCTCCGGCTCCCCCGGCGGGCACGCAGAAAAACTCACACAACATTTTCTCCCCGACCACCAGACGCAACAACATTTCGCTTCACTTTCGATTTTCAATTTTGTTTTTTAGAAGACTTTTGAATCGCCTTAAGACGTCCCAAAAACGAGTATAGCTAAGACTGTATTTTACAAAATCCTAGGTAATGCGGCTACTGCTTGTCGCTCTACTCCTAATCGGGGTCGGGGCATGGAGATCGGCAAAGTCCTTTAAAAACCCCGGAATTCCAAGCCGACATCCCCTTCGAGATCCGATCACCCTCAAGAATTACGACTACAATTTTTGGGAGAAAACGGCTAGCAAGGTACGTTACATCCACATAAAAATTTCAAAACCTACCGCTTTCAGTCCAGCAACAACGTTTTCCATTCCCAAAACGGCTATAAATGGTCAGAAGAGTGGTATAAAGAAATGCCGGTTGACCACTTCGCGTATACGGACAACCGAACTTTTGAATTACGGTAATAAACCTCAATTTTCACAACTATTTTTCAGCTATTTCATCAACACTGAATCTTACAAGCCTGGTGGTCCGATCCTCTTTTACACCGGAAATGAGGGGTCTTTGGAGAGCTTTGCAGAGAATACGGTAGAATTTGCATATTTTTCAGGATTCTCTTGTCGTTTAGGGCTTCATGTGGGACATTGCCCCGGAATTCAACGCGGCTGTCGTTTTTGCGGAACATCGCTTTTATGGAAAGTCCAAGCCTTTTGGAGATGATAGTTATAAGGCAACGAAATATTTGGGGTATAGGAAAACTAAATATTTTTTCAAATTTGGTTTTCAGTTATCTCAGCTCTCAACAAGCTCTTGCCGATTTCGTGGTGTTGATCAACCATTTAAAGGACACTGTAAGTCCGGTTTTTACGTGATAACCGTTTCTCAGAGGATCAAAGACGCTCAAAAATCTCGCGTGATCGCCTTTGGTGGTAGTTACGGTGGTATGCTATCCGCTTGGCTGAGGATTAAATATCCTCATGTTGTTCAAGGGTTAGATTTATCTTAATTTCGTCTATTTTATTTAAATTATTTTAAGAGCCATTGCCGCATCCGCGCCTGTCTTTTGGTTCCAAAATTCTGGTATCCAAGAAGATATCTATGATCGTATTGTTACAAGATCTTTTGTCGGGTCTGGTGAGAAAAAAATTAAGCGTATTTTTATCGGAATTTAGGCTGTAATTTCAAGGCGATTGAAGGAGGCTGGGGCGCAATTGCTAGCCTGGCGGAAACTGGTCAGAAACAACGATTTGCATGCAGAAAAATTTAGAAAACGGCCGGGCCTACTTGAACGATCTCTTCCACCTCTCTTCTGAATCAACGGTTCAAGCGAAGACTGACGCGACTTGGTTGATTGGGTAATTCAGAATGCTCTAATTTGAAGCTGCAAACATTTAGATACATTCGAGAAGCCATGGAAAGTATGGCGATGGTGAACTACCCCTATCCCACCGGCTTTTGAGTAAACTCCCAGGGTGGCCGGTTCAGGAAACGTGCAAGAAGCTGAAAACAGTTCCGGACACTCCGGAAAAATTGGCCGCGCAGATGTACGAGGTAAGTTAGGTTCAAACTTTTTTTTATTATCGTTTTATTGATCGTCAACCTTTACTACAATTACACTGGCGACAGTAAGACCCTTTGCGCAAATCCCGCGAATTGTGCGGGTGCGTTCGCGGCTCTTGGAGACGTACAGGGATGGACATGGCAGGTATGGAAAATTTACATACACCTCAATTTAATTACCTAATTTGAATTTAAATTGATCATAAAAACTTTTAATTCAGACCTGCACCGAAATGGTGATGCCACTCTGCGCGAACGGCCCTCCAAGCGACTTCTTCTGGAAGGATTGCCCCTTCTCGACCCAGCAATATGCAAAGACTTGTACTGATATGTAAATTACTGTTGTTAATCTTGAGACATACGCCAAATTTTAGGTTCGGAGCACGTGGATATGATCGAACGATGATGCGTCCGGACTGGGCTATCCAGCACTATGGCTCATACTTCCCCACTGCATCTAACATTGTTTTCAGGTGGATTTGAAACAATAATTTGCATATATATTTTAGCAACGGCTTCCTGGACCCGTGGTCAGGTGGTGGCTGGGCTTTGAAGCCAAAGACCGAGGTTGTTCGAACTTTTTTGGCTAAAGTATTTTAGGGAAGCCTGGTTAGCTTGATCCTACTGGAAGGAGCACATCATTACGACCTGCGAGGAGCTAACGAAAAGGTTTTATCGATATTCGATCACTAAGATGCATCTTAGGATACCGATGAGGTGAAAAAAGTACGTGAAGAAGAGAAGAAGCAAATCGCCAAATGGATTAGCCAGCCCTTGTAATATTCTGCAAAATCTTGAATAAATCTAATGTTTCGAAAATTACAAATCACACACAATATTTGTTTTCAATATTACGGGATATTACTCTGATTTTTGTTCTGAGCGTTGCTTTCTTTGCCCCACCTTCCTCTCCTACTGGTTACTAGGGTTGTTTCTCGGAACAGACCGAGATTCGGAACTTTCGGAACAAAGACTGGTCGGAACGTTCCGAGATTCGCGTGTTCCGGCTGTTCCGAGATTCGGAACATTCCGAGATTCAAATGTTGCGGTTGTTCCGAGATTCATATTGTTCCGGCTGTTCCGAGATTCGGAACGTTCCGAGATTTGGCTGTTCCGACTGTTCCGAGATTCGGAACAGTCCGAGATTCGGCTGTTCCGAGATTCAAATTTTTTCGCATGTAAATTTCGATTTCGTGTAAATTGTGTAGATTGCACGTAACTGTTTCGATTTTGCCGTGACACGGCAGTGTGGGCGCAACTGAACACCTAAATCCGTCGATGGTTAGATATCGAATCTGGAAATTAAGGAAATGAGAACGAATTGGGGATCGAATCGAATCGAAATTCAGTCGTGTTTGGAAATTTACATGCGAAAAAATTTGAATCTCGGCACAGCCTAATTTCGGACTGTTCCGAATCTCGGAACAGTCGGAACAGCCCAATCTCGGAACGTTCCGAATCTCGGAACAGCCGGAACAATATGAATCTCGGAACAACCGCAACATTTGAATCTCGGAATGTTCCGAATCTCGGAACAGCCGGAACACGCGAATCTCGGAACGTTCCGACATTCGGAACAGTCGGAACGGTTGCTGTTCCGAATGTTCCGAATCTCGGCCTGTTCCGAGAAACAACCCTACTGGTTACGGAATCAAAATGGCGTACAAAGTAGCACCACGTAGCTGAGCTCTATTTAGGTGTTTCTCTTCTGTTGTTTAGACGGCAGCGCTTCCGGGATTCATACGACAGTATTGATTTCCGTTTCTACATCAAAGAAATCTCAATTCAAATCTGAAAAATATTTAAATTTCTAGTGATGCCATCAGTAGCGCTAGGCCTCGGGGCCTGCGCCCTATCATCGCTGTTCTTTGGGTCAATGTTTGTCGTGGTAAAGCGATATAAGTCTGGAGATGGTAATTTATACATATTATGGACATTTATAGACAATGGTTAACAGGTCTATTCGTTCAATGGGTGATGGCAGCGGCAATTCTGCTGGTCGGGATGACCGTGAATGTATTCCAAGGATTTCCACCTTTCCATCCACTTGCCATGCTTGGTGGAGCTTTTTGGGCTATAGGTAAGGAATTTAAATAAATTATTATCAAAGTATCTAAAAGTATAGGAAACGCCACTGCCATCCCAATTATGAGCCAGCTAGGCATCGGCCTTGGAATGCTAATTTGGGGAATTACGAATTGCGTGATGGGATGGGCTAGTGGAAGGTTGTCTTTTAAGTTTTTATGCAATTTTTTTTAGATTTGGCTTATTTGGAATCAAAGCAACAGAACCAGCTATTCCCATTCTTAACTATTTGGGTCTGCTGGTCGTCATCCTCGGAGGCTTCCTATTTTCCCTGGTTGAAGCCTCACCCAGATCGGCACAGTCATCAACTAGTGAATATTATGAAAGTCCAAGCATTGTAGGTTAATTTTTAAATTTACCATAATTTTTTAAGGATCGTGATGAAGAAGCCGACGCGGAAACTCCTTTAATCCAACAAACTGTAAATCCTTATCGTGTACAAAAACGGATGATGTACGCATTTAGAAATATTCACGATTAATCTAATTTAGTGCTATCGGAACTGCCCTTTGCGCTGGTGTGCTTTATGGAGTCAATTTTGTGCCGGTTATTTATATGCAAGATCATCCTGAACTGGTATTATTGTAGTTTTCGCAATTTGTATTTCCTAGTACCCCGACGCTTCCAAAAATGGGCTAGATTTTGTATTCTCCCATTTTTGCGGAATCTTCGCAGCAGCATCTGTCATCTTTGTTTTGTATGTTGCATACAGGTATGAAGAATATTTATGAGACTTTCGTAAATTTGAATTACAGCCAAAATCAGCCCTACATTAATGCGTCAATTGCGGGACCAAGTTTGATAGCAGGGACAATGTGGGGAATCGCGCAGACGTCCTGGTAATAATGTAGGTTTATGCAAATTAGCGTATTTAGGTTTGTGGCGAATGACAGCCTCTCGCAGGCTGTAACTTTTCCCATTATTTCTATGGTGCCTGGGGTAATTGCAGCGATGTGGAGCGTGTTTTATTTTAAGGTACTTAAACGCAAAAAAAGAAAAATCGATAATTTAGGAAATCACTGGTACAAAAAATTTGCGGCTTCTCGCAATTGCGGTAGTTGTTACTCTAACCGGCGCAGTATTCGTTGGCATCTCAAAATGATAGACTCCAATCCTTGAGCTATTCCGTAACGCTTTGATTTTTGAAACCAAAAGTGATATGTACAGCTTGAAAGTCCATGTTTTTCTATGAAAAATGAATAAAGTAATTTATTTAGGAATTTCTAGCATGACACGTATTTCTTGTAGTATCTCGTAGTACAGGAATGTGGCTACCAACTATGGCGAGAGGCGCTTCAAATACCACCCATCTTCAGCCGGCTTCGCATCTTCTGGATTTTGCGTGAAGCACAGACGATCGTGCACTCGATCACTTTGACCTTGCCAAAATTCGAAAGTATGTGGTCGGACAAGGAAGCCACCCCTAGAAAAATGTCTTGAAAGCACCGGAAGTGATCGATTACCAATATTCAGGCCTTGTAATAGCGTCAGCTCCCTCTTCTGCAGCTAATTTCTCCAGTTCCGCTTTCTTATCAAGAAGCACTTGACGACTTTCGATGACGGTACTTTGCTGGCTGCTTTTGGTCCCGATTCTGTTAGCCAATGGACGGGAATTCCAATAAGCCTCGTTTTCCGCGTCAGTCCAGTGTTCGGCAATACCTTCTACTCGTACCTTAAAGTTGTCGTGTTCAGATATTTACATCAATAGGTTACTTTACCTGTCTATGCACACGTGACCAAAAGAATAACAAAGCAACCTTTCCGTTTTCAGCTAATTCCCGACCCTGAAAATACGATAATATAATCATAAATCGCTCACCTTACGACTATTGTAGTTGCTATGAAAAACAAAACCATCGTGGCTATAACTTCTCATCAATACCATTCGCGATGAAGGCTGACCGTCTCTAGAAACACATTAAAATAAGCTTACAATTAGAAACATACTTTGAAACGGTAGACACACAAACAGCATTCGTCTCTTCGAACATCAGGTCGGCCTTTGAGGCAACGTTTTTGAACCTAGTTTACATTTGGTATATTGTTTCAGCATTACCAAATATCAAAGAGTTGGAACGGGTTTTTGGTCGGTAGTTTTTCCTCCAGAAAAACCGGTTCTTCTTCATTGTGATAGTGGCGTCGCCATGCTAATTTTTGCGTCATGCAAATTAGGTGAACTTACTACTGATATCCAGCGGCGTATCGGCCATGATTTTTTGTTTCCCACGAGGGATTGCGTGGGAAAGGCTGCGGATTGCTTGTCGGATCACTTTTGTTGCTCTGCTAAATTGAATTAAATTTATACAAAATTATTTTCAGTGGTTAAGAACATAAAGAAGATGAACAATACTAGACATTGTAGTCCTGAGGTATGTGTGTACTTAATTTCATTAAAAAAAGAAGGCTTGTTCTTAAAAATGCCAGAGGGCTCTATATGTAGTGTTGGAAAGAATAGCGTGTATGGCTCCAAACTATGATGGATGCCGGATGGGCAGACGGGCAGAGATGGGTCGGGTCGGCTGTCCTTTCAAAGGTTCTCCCCGCTCGCCTACCAACAATCCAAACACCAAAGTACCAATAAGAGACGCGAGGTATACGAAAAATATTTGGGGGTAATCAGCGGAATTACAGGGGATATGCTGGAGTGCTTAGCACTTATGACTAATGTTAATTTGATCGGGATTGATGTATCAACTGGATTAGCTTGTATCAAAGGCAAAGAATTTTTATTAGCGTAAAGGACGTATAAATACAGCGGTCTTTTATACAATTAACAAGAATTTACTTTGCTACCAATTTCTGAGAATGACAGATTACAGCTTTTGAAAGGTACAGTAACCCTCAAAAATCGAAGATGCTAAATTCCAAAATGCTGAGAAATGCTTATTGATATAATTTGTTACCACTTCTACAAATTTGATCTACTGCCATTTATAGTAAGAAAATTTTCACAGCCACAATAATCTAAGCAATTTATTTAATTTATATTCTGCTTTCACAGCTGTCCAGCAACGCCACCGTCAAAGCACCGATTAGCATCTTTCGCTCCAATTCTCCCTACGTGAAACATGAAATCCGCCTAGAAGTCGGGTTTCTACTCTATTCCGTCGAGTGGTGCGAGCGGCTCGTGCATGCTTCGTGAGCACAATCGCCCCCGGCCAGGATTCAGCCATTTTTCCACGGCCCTCGAGGCTGTTTGTCCTCATCGGGGTGGTGGTGGGGCCTCCCCCTCCTCAACCACCATTAAAAATACAGTCCCACCCCTCCTCGGACTTTCACCCTACCAGACAAAAGCATTCCGCATACCTCGCCGCAACTCCGGTTCCTGATTTGGCGGTCGGGGTTTACAATATACTTTCGTATTATTTTATTAAATTTTTCTAGAAAATATGCAAAGGAACATAAGATATTTGACATAGTGTAAATCGAAGGATGTAGTTTTTATAGAGAAGCTGTCGGATACTATTGAAATATACCATTCCAATCAGAAAGAAAATACCGTTTAGATTGGCTATATTCATTTTCATTTCCCTATAGAACTATGTGTTTTCACCATGTTTCACCCAGTCTGGCCCTTTTTTCAGTAACCTTTACCATTAATTTTTCACCTATTGAATTAGTAAACTGTTACATTAATGCATTGCAAAGCCTTTTCAGAAGTCTAAAAATGTTGCGGGTAGTGCTCTTCGTATTATTTTCCATCGTCATTGCACAACATCCCTGGTACCAAGCCTTTAATCCAGAAGAAGTACGTGAAGAAGCGCGGATGTGTGAACAAGGTAGGCTTGCGTAAAAGGAATTTTGCGCACATAAAACTAAAAATTTTAGAGTGCATGACGACCTCGGATTGTGATACCGGCCTGAGCTGCTTTCACGCAACGATGGATAGCCGCGGGTGCTGCCTACAAAGTACAAAAAGCTATCTAAAGTTTATTGATGCCTTTTAAGCTTTGAAACCGAACGAAACTGGATGTGTTGTTGATGACCAGTGCAAGCGAGCTTGCGAGAGCACCTTTTGCGACAAGGCCCAGCAGCCATCTCGGTGTCTATGCGAAAAGGGGCGGCATTTCCTGTTCAACAAATGCTGTAAGTGAATTTGCATACATACATCTTATTTTTCCAGGGAAAAAATGTCCGGAATTCGCCCATCCTGAACCGGAAGTTGACCCTCAGGGTTTCTCTTTTTGCAAATTGAAGGCGAGTCAAAAAATTTCTTCAATAACTTTTAAAATTGCAAATTTGACAAGTTTCGAAGATTTTACAAAATTGTCTTAGGTGAGCGAAGCCACCGCTCTCCAATGGATCCGACGAAACAAGCGACAACTCCGAAACGCTTTCTGCTAAATTCCCTTCTGATTCCACCTGTCACCCTTAATACACCAACCCCCTCCTTACTGTACTTAAGCGAGCGAATCTCTCCAGTATTTCAGTTCTAATCGCGACACTCGGGTGCTATCTTTCCTGTTATATACATCAATTTATTGACTCCACCAATCTCGGCAGCAATAATTATTTTTCGTCTTTGATAAATTGTGCGAGATCAATACGGCGTACAAGCGTTGTATAGTAGGCCTTAAAGCATATAACCCGTTTTTGATGAGATTGCACAACAACGAATAGTAAAAAGACATGTTCAATGTTTTCTTTAGGGGGTTTAGTCCTCTATCCCTAGTAGAAATTTCTGGAAAAAAAAGAGATGAAAAGACCCGGAACGGCCGCGCAAATAGGGCCTTTCCATTTCACGGATCTACGGGGTCAGATGAAAGGCGCCAGGGTTGCGCAGAAATTTTGCGTGAAAGGAACATGTCTTTTGACGCCCTCGGTGATTCTTGATCGGAAAAGACTCAACTTTCATGCTTATACGTTTAGATAGACGCCCCAGTAGACGATGTGGAAGATGATGAAAAATGAGGGGAATGCTACGCGTGAGAACAAATCCACTTGTGCTGGTCTGACAGACCGGAAGTAGGGTTGGGGTTGGAATGGGATTGGCAGCGTTGGCATCATGGCTAATAGTGGCACCCGTTGATCCGAAGCGTTCACGGGCTCTAATTCCACCTCAAGAAGTCATGCTTCTTATGCTAATTACAATCTAACCAACCTTCACATTTTTCTTCTTTTTTTTGGCGACCGTGTTCCGCCGCAATTCCCCTTCGCTACTTTCATAGTATTGAATCGGATTCTGATTCAACGCGGCTCGATTCCGCTTCATCAAATATCCAACTGTCGCATATTCCACCAAAGATGCAAATACTGAAGTCCTTTCATTCCTCAGAATTTCAACGCACTCACCAATGAAAAAGCAAACTCCCAAAAATATGTCCAAACTTTTCACGTAGCTGACCTGCAAAAGCGCTTTGTTTTTGGGCTTCATTCTAGCTTAGACAAACCTTGGGCAAACTTGAGTTTGTGCTCGTCATTAGTGTGGTCATTGTCAGCACCGTCGTTACTCCTGAAATGTGCGTTTTTGTCTTTTCACTAGAACAATAGCTATTTGTTCCACGAGGTAGACGTAGGCCCATTTTTTTATGGGTTTGCTCCCCGGTCCAGTCTTGTAAATTGTCGGTGGACGCGTGCGGAAGTTGTCCGGGGGTTGGTTCAACCGAATGCCCCGCTTCATCGTCGCGAGACCCACGTTTTCATTCAACAAAAAAACCAACCGATTCCCACGCGGGCTTGCACGGCTTCGCGATTCAGCCAGAATGAAACCCAAGAAATTACGACTAAAGTAAATAATATTTTCATCAAAAGTTGAATCTTACCAATCAGTGAGGACGGGAAATATATTTGGATTAGAAAGAACCCGAGGTTGCGTTGGAAAGTAAAATAAGCTGTGAGCCGAGAGTAGTTACCTAGGGTTCACATGGTCTAAACAATTTTATTGACATACCGGTAGATAAAGATATGGTCCGTTCGACATGATAGTGCTCGCCAATCGAAAAATGCGCCAAATGAACATTCGGGTCCATCGTCACGGAATTCGTCTGATGCCAATGGTAGATGATATCCCGTGTTGAATAGCCGTAGCTCTACAAATTGTAACTTGCCAATCATAACTTGTGCTTAAGATACCTCAATCTCCAGTGCGCATACTTGCACGTCCAATGGGAACTGAAAAAGGATCAATATAAAAGGTAGAAATTACCGTATGCAGATTCATAGGGCAATTCGCTGTGACTGTCAGTCTGAAAAGGGTTTTGAAGTGGATAGGATAAATAGATACCGTATGCTTCTCAACACATTTCCCTGACTATCAATACGCAGGAAAGAGTTGTGAGAAGTGGCTTCATGGAAAAACGACTTTTTCTCGTTGGGAAAGAAGGTGTCTGGCGTCCAGATTTGCTGTACCATTTCAATACCTTTAATAGATTCATCGGAAGTATTCTTTGGATCACCTATAGTCAAAGAGGACTGTTCGGCAGATTCGAATGCTAATCGTGGGTCGCGCCAAATTTGACGTAGGTAGAGATCGACGGTGTAGTCCTGAAAAAACCTTATTATTTCCAAAAATGATGTACCATTGAGACTTCAGAAATAGCAGATATGGTAGTTACATGAGCTGTCACATTCACTTCGACAGGTGGACCTGAATTTACATTTTGAGGAACTTTTTTATTTCCATCGGCTGCCTTTCCTAGTCCATAGACCAAACCCAATCGGAAGCGCTTACCCCCAGACAATCCACTTTCATAGTCAATGTCTCCATTTTACCCCAGGTTGTGAAAGTGGAAAACCCCCAGAGAGGGGCTTTCCGAAAATCACTCGAGCCCCGTAGCTTCCACGTGCTCCTCCCCGAAATTGAGCCCGACTCGTGGAGGGTGCGGAAGAAATTTGGTTTCTTTTCAAAAGGGCTTGCGCCTCTATCCGAGGTGCCTTCGGAAAGTTGGGAGGATCTACTTGAGGTTTTTGCGGTTTTCTGTTGACCACAAACTGCTTTTTAGTATCAAAGCTTGAATTTGCAAATTTGAGAGACTGACCTCCATAATTCGGTCGTATCCGCCGATCATGACTGGCTATCAGCCGATCCAGCAGCAAACTGACGTTGTTTTCGAGTTTGGCGTTGAACATTCTAAATTAAATTAGCCATAAACGACCTCAAAATCTATAACTTACCCTTTCGTGGGTGGTGAAACATTGGCTGAATTGTATTCGATCTCCTTGTCGGATTTGGTATGCTAAAAATCGAGGTTAGGCGTGAAAATCAGGGCTTCACGACATATAAGCCAGGCAGGCAAGCAGCTGATGGTGCTTTTAATACAAAAGGCGACAGAGAAAATACTTTCTCACGAATTGCAAAACATATGCAAGAAATGTTAGAACCGACAGGGGGGAGGGTACCGTTAAAGACCCACCGTTTTGTTAGTGGTTTCCGGGGGCTGAAAAGTCTGGGTTAGGGTTAGTTTATTAGTTTTTCACTGTCAAGTTAATCGAAGCGTTGTTGTTGTTGTTCTGGAGCTGCTGCTCACCTCAAATCCGGGGACCTTCGCCGGGACACTTTTTGCGGCAATCAGGGGGAACAGGAGCACGAGGGCGCCAAATTGGATAGCTCCTGTCATCGTTCGCTATCTCGAGGGAGGCTCATCGAGACTTACTGAAAGTTGAGGATCAGAAAAATAGAAGAAGGCTTAAAAAATCTATGCAATTTGGGTAAAACGAGCATGAGAAGGTTTAGAAAAAAAGTCGTATTATGTTAAAACAAAAGGCTAAATGGTGGAGAAAAGATATGGAAATATCGAGCAACTGCCGAGAAACTCAAATCGATCCAATAGACCCCCCGGTGCGGTGTTTATTATGTCAGAATACGCATGAACGGCCTCGAAATGTTGGCCCCCTTCCGGAGACCCCTAACCGACCACCTAGAGACCCCCAGAACTCTATTCTACAACAATCCGAATCATCCGATTGAAAGCTTTATCCGAGATGTTCAGCAACGCGGAAGGTCTAACCCCCTCCCCTACCCTACCCCTCCCCCGGATAATAAAGTCCCTCCGCCGTCCTCTCGTTAGAAACCTGCGCCAGGGCCCGTTCGCCCATAAAAAGCAGATGGCGCATAAATTACTGGAGACATCTCTCGAAGTTCCTTCCCTTCTTGGATAAAAGAAAGACTGAATTCATAAGCAGCGATGCAAAACTCAAGGCATTTCCGGGTCAAACTTCCCGGGATTGTGTTAAACTTTAGACGCCCACCAGGTCTCCCCCCCCCTAGCATTAAATACCGGCCAGAAAGCAGGAGCAAGACAATGCCCACACTCCGTCAAGGACCGGGCCCGGAAATGAGTAAGTTGGGGACGGCGAGGAAGTGGTCGCCCCGCCAAACAAAAGCCATTTAAAATTTCTTTCACCATTTCGCGCCAGCACCTGGGCCGAATTTTGAAGGAGTTTTGGTTTTGGTGGTGTGAAACAAGTGTCCGGGAGGGGGGAAATGGCTGGGGCAGGGGATCAGAGAATACGAGCTTCAAATGCTGGCTGTGCTGACGTAGCTTAAGGTAATTTAGTGATAGAGATAGGACAGGAGAGAGAGAGAGAGAGAGAGAGAGAGAGAGAGAGAGGTATAGAGACAGACAGAGAAAAATAAAGCAGATGTAAAATCATTTCTTAAAATGTTTATATTGTTAGAGCAAGAGGAAGAGACTTTCGGCTGTAGTGAGAGAGCAAACGAGATAGAGAGAGAGAGAGAGAGAGAGAGCGAGAGAGAGAGAAAGAGGAAATAGAAAAGGCCAGAAATAAAACAGTATTTGCAAAACTTTGTTTAAACATCCCCATATTCTATAGCTACTTTTTAGTACACTATCGAACATCCCCCAACCCCCCCCCTCTTCAAATTGAGCTTATTACGTTGCGTGCGTGGGTCCCATACGGAAATCCCCCTCACCCAAAAAGCCGCCCTATTTAGTGTGTGCTTGTTTTTGGGCGGATATTTGGAAAAGAAGTGGAGGGGAAGGGGGCCATTGGATCCTTACGAGAAGCCCAAAATGGATTAAAGACTGGCACAGACACAGACCCAGATGCCCCCTAGGTGGCCCACACGATATAGACCCGGGTCTGGTCCCAAAAAAAGCATTCGTAGCATTTTTGTGTGTTTCAAAGAAACAGCGCAGACCCGACAAAAATAAAAAAAAAACTACTAAGAGTGAATTATTTTGGAACTTGTGCGACACCACCGGAAATCCAATCCATTCAAGCGAACAAATTTTGGCCCCACCACATGTTCAACGTTTCAGTAAGGTTACCTGACCAACCAGAAACACCGCCTGGAAATACCTCAAAACGCGCAATCGCCGATCTCTGGTCCTTTTCCGGTGAATATTTTAAAGCCGAGGTGCATCTTGGAGGGCACGGAAAAGGCATAAGAGAGCACCCCGCTTAATTCTGCCCAGGTTTCGGGCCCCGAATAGACTCGACCCCTTCCAGGGGAAGCCGGAAATCAGCGGATGCAAATGAGGGGGCCAGCGGGGGATCCAAGAAAATCCTTCAAAATAGCTCGGACGGAAGTTGGTGTGCTCACGTCGCTCGGATTGCTTTGCTTGCAGAGCAAGACTACGCGTAGGGGGCGGCCAGCTGATTTCCGGAATTTGAGGACTCCATTTCGGGCGCCCAGCCAAGAGAGGGGAGGAATATTTGGAATTGCCGGGAGCAGAATTAATGGCTCGTGGAAATGAGGTCGAAAGCTAGCGCACCAAGGTATAGACGTCAGATTCGGACAAAAAGGGCAGAAAGAAGAAAAATTCAGTGTATGTATAACTATTTAACGTATGAGACTCGGATGCCGAGACGCGGGTGCGAGATGGGTAGGCGTGAAAAACGTGGGCCCACCTCACCTCGCGGGGAATCAGAATTGCCGCTCGAATTCGATTCGAGGAGTCGCTGTTTCGAGACCAACAGGATGGAGAAGAGGCGGAGGTGTCTTCCCTGCAGTCCCGCCGATCAGAGATGCTTATGGAAATAGCCTGAATTTTCGGCACCCCGCAAAACAAAAATCGTTTTTGGCCGGGATGAGGTCACGTAGTTTGATTTTAGACCCAAAAGACTGGGGCATTTTTCAGGGTTTCTGGATGCTTCTTTTGTTTTAAAGACAGAAAAAAGCTGGGGCTCCCCGAAATAGTCAGCATAATCAGACATCGCTCAAAATTCCCTAAGCCCCGGTGATGTGAGAGGGAGGTGGGCATCAAAACAATCGAGAATCCCCAAAAATGGAGCTGCCAGGTTGATTGTTGACCCACTGGCTGATAGTTGTTCACGGAGCAAGAGCTTCAGCCTTCGGGAGCACAGAAAAACTATGAGGATGGATAGGGTTGTCACTCTTCTTTTTCTGCTTGAAATTCGGAAGGATAGGGTTTACATGTATTTTTTAAGGAACGTCATTGAAAATCGGCTTTGTTCTTGAAAAAAATATTTTTGAAGAGGCGTTGAATTGGGTTCATTAATCGCCACAAACAAGGTGCAAAGCAGCTTTAATGAAATGCGAGGGAGGATGTAAGAAAGCACTGTAAACGCTTTCCAAGCTGACGAGGATTGAATTTGCATTTCTTTAAAATGAAACCCGAACAGAAACCCCAGACAATATCCTAGCATGAGTTTTTTGATTTTTAATTGCATCCCCCGCCACGCAACATTGATGCTGACGAACCATGCAATTTGCGGCAAAAGGGAATTGAAGGGCACGTAAGACGAAGGGAAGAGCTCGCTTGAAACATGGCAACCAGGATTAAAAATTCATTTGAAAATCCGAAAACAGCGCTTTGAAACGTCGTCACGCGCAGGCGGCGCCAGGCCTTTTTCGCTCGCGATCCCTGCTCGTTAGCACTGAAAATTAGCTATGCATGTTTTAAGCTATGGAAAAATGAAGTGGATTTATTGGAAATGCAAAGCTTCCTGGTCAAGCTCGGATTGAAATGTTTTCGAAAACTGTCAAGGAGCAAAAGCTGGGAGCTCAGGGTCCCAAATAAAAATCCTGGTATATGCGCAAAAGCGTGGGCGCTGCTGCGGGTAGAAAGTGCTGTCAGTACGTCTTCAGGAAGACGGAGGAGTTGTTCTATTAGCTGAGGCCGTTCTATGCCCCCGAGGGCATCCCGTTTGCCCCCCGGGGACCTATGAAGCCGTGTCCGGTGGCGGCACTTGGTCACTCTGGCTCCAGTGAACGCCTGCCAAAAAATGAACCCGATGCCCGGGAAGGCAACATTTTTTCTCTGGAACGTCACCATTTCCACGTTTTTTTGGGATTACAAGCCTGGGCTGGTCATTTATTTTCTTTGCAGGAGCCTGAAACGGATGTTGGTTTTCGCGAATAAAACAGAACAACAGAAACGTGTGGGGTTTGAGTTTTGGAATTTTGTTAATTTTACCAACGCTATATACAATGGAGATTTAGGCTTAGGCTTATGCTTGAACATAGACAGGCATAGGCCCAGCCTTTGGACTACATTTATTTTCCCTAGATGCAACCCCTCTACTTCTGCGCGATCCAACTCAACTTCAAAAAACACTTCCGGCGAGTTTTTCAACACTGTACTATCCTCCCCAATCCCATCCACACTATATTATTTTCCTCTCCTGCCTCCAAGCACAGATTTTTGCTCAAGAGGATGAGCCGCTCCATGAAAATTCAAGAGCTTTTTTGCAGCGCCTCCCCCAAACATAAGGCCATGATTACAAATGCATGCCAATTCCAGGGGATTGAGGGTAGGGGGATTCCTCATGCATGGCGCGGTTTTTTGTGTGCCCCCAACTGGGAATAGCCCTGGGGGCAGGGCACCACATTTCGCCGGTAGTTCTTAGAAGCTGCTGCGAACCTGGTCGTGAAGAAGCCCCGGCCGAAGGGCTAGAATTGGGTTGGCGCGCAAAGCTGCTCGGAGGGTCCGTGTTTTTGTTTGCGCGCGGGTGGCTGGCTTTGAAGGCGCTGTCCGCAAAACGCCCCGCTTGGCTTTCTATTTCCCACCGTTTTTAATTTCCTTTGAATATTCTAATCAAGATTAATAATTTTAGGCGATGGATGAGAAGATCGCTGCAGAAGATCGAGGTAAAAGAAAATATTGTCAAGTGATTTTTCTGTTTTAGACATCGATCTGCGTTCCAATCACTCACGATCACCGGATCAAGAAGTAGTTATTCGTTCATATTTTTATTTTGTTTAGGAAAATGCTAGCGAAGCTTCAGAAACGGAAAGACAAAATGACCTTCCGCCGGAACCTGACGAAATGGAAGAGCCGCGCGACCTTAGCTCCCCGGAAAACCAGTTCCTAATTGAATCACCGATTGAGGAAAATATCGTGCGAGAGGTATGAAAAGCAGCCAATTTTTAGAAACATTTTAGGAATATATTCTGGTGCAGCAGGTTAATGAAGAGCCAGAGCTGAATGTAGACCTAGACCTTGGATATACGGAGGAAACAGAAGAAGGTATTTGAATGTCGCGCTAGATTTCGTCTTAGAAAATATAGAGAGTGAACAGCCTAAAGTTGTGAAGGAAGTGCATCAACAGTTAGAGCAAACGGTAGGTTGTTGCAATTTTTTGCAAAGATAATGTATTTTTATTCGGCTTTTTTACCCGATTCAAAGCCATTCCGTCCTAACAGTTCAATCGAAGCCGCGCGAATTTCGCTCCAACCGCCTATTTGTTTTTGCGGTCTTTGTCTCACTTGGCTGGGATCCAGGGGGGTAGAAGCTTTTTGTGAGCCTTTCTCGGTGGGGTGGGCTGAGGACGAAACACCGCTTGAGCAAACATGCTTGTAGTCGATGGTGGGGGGCAGGGCAAAAAAGCCGACTTCTGACACCGAGCCCCTCCCAGGCAACATTCAACTAGCTATCAGCCACAGACACACACACGCACTCACAGTTCCCTCATGCAAACCTTAGCTAGGTGGACCGGTTTCTGGGCTAAAAAATCATTTATACCGTATTAGCATGCATCCACTCGTTTTTCTAAAAAACTGCATTTAAAATCCGAAATCACAAAAATTCGTGTTTGTTTTAAACTGTTTTCCTGAGCGATTATAAGTACTTTGGAATGCAAAAATTGTCGTAATTTGCAAGAAAAAGTAAGCTTGGTCTTTGTTATAACACCCTCTGTCTAAACAAACTCTCCTTTCCAGTTATTTCAAAAACTGAAACATATATGGTATCGCGGTTATATTTAATTTTATGAATTTTTAGGAGGCGCCCGCTGAACCTATGCTACAATCTGAACCGATTGAGGACCATATTGAAGGGTAGGTTTTGCTTTTTAACCCCCAAATAAAATTTTCCAGTTTATCCGTTATTGAAGAAGATGAAGCGCTGAAATCGGTAAAGCCGGGAGCCATATCCCTAATTTGAATCTCTAGGAAGGAGCCGATATTGTTCCTGAAGTGATAAAGCCCCCGCTGACGGCTATAACAGAGCAGGTGATACCTTCTGAATCTTTATTACCTGTTATTTAGCCCGCAGCTGCAGCACCCACCCAATCCAAATTACGAACTCCAAGGGTCCAAGTCCCAAAGAAAGGGTAAGCCCTTGAAATTGAGAAGCTTCATCCTCCAATTATTGGCTCCTCCATATGATGATCCATCTCCCGTTTGGGCCATAAGCTTTGTGTCCCTCCCCCCAGTCTCTAATCGCTAATCCAAATCTGCAAGAAAAGCCGCCGTTCCCCCTCCGGCCGAGTCGCTTCCGCTCCCCCCACTAATGCAGGCTTTTGACTCTCCCAGACCACTTCTGAGCTTTTCTGAGGAGACTTTCGCCCCTGGCTTTCTAGATTCAGCCAGTAGTAGTTGGTCTCCCGTAGTGGAATCTTCTTCTTTTTCTTCTCCCTTTTCGGCAAAAGGCCCTATTGATCCCACCTTGAGCCCTTAGCGGAGTGAAGGAGCCTCTTTGCGCACACAGGTTCCCATCGTCGGCCCGGAGGGCTGCTCCTTCCAGTTCGACCTCCTCTTCCCCTTTTCCAACTTGCATACAATTAGCCTCCGGTGCACGCGCTAGGAGGATTGCTGTTGTCCCGGTTTGGGGAGTGAGCCGCGTTTGAATTTTTGAAGGGGTTGTTTTCGATTTTTCTTTATGCAATCCTCAAAACTACAAAAAGTCAAGAATTTATTAGTTTCTATGTTAATTAGATGTACGCTTAAAATGGAATTTACATAACCTTCCCGAATTTTTTCGGAAATGACTTTAGGTCGTTTTTATTTAATACCAAAGCAATTTTATGTAACGTTTTGCGATCGCTAGAGCCAAAACTCCAAACTACAAAAAATCCTAGCTTTCGTAAGCTTTTAGGCCAAATAATCTGACAATCTCGATGCAAATACCCTGATTTTAGGTAGGCTTTTAAATTGTCCAACCCGGGCTCCCTGCTGTCTTTAATTACATTTTATGCAAATTTCTGGTCCGATCCAACATATTTCGTGATTTTCAAGCTATTGTAAAAAACCTGATTTCTTCCAAGTTTGCTGAATCCCTACTTACCCGATTCCGGCTCTTTCCTCTTCCTACTAAAGCAGATCCCATCCCCCGGCAGCGCAACCACATTTGCTCAAAAATTCGCAGCACCCCCTCCGCTCTCTCCCGCTCCACCCTTTGCACTCCCTAATTATTGGTGGTGTTGTGGGCCATTCTGGTGGAAACATTCTGCTCTCACCAACCCCGCTAAGGGAAGCATTCCCGCATTCGGAATAATAGGGCGGGGCGTGTCGAATTTCGGCCATTCAATCCCAATTCGGGCTTCTGGGTATGGCATGGGGTGGGGGGGGGAGGGGGAAGGATAGGATAGCTTTGCTCGTTGCTTCATCTCGTGTTGTCGGTTGATACATGCTTTGGGGGGGACGGCTTGCCGGGGCCCATCATACACCTCCATTTTTCTCGCTGGGGCCTTCGTGACGGGACCCATATTTCGGCTTTTCGTTGCAGAAGCGCCGCTCCTCCAGGGAAGGCACCTCAGAAGGGCGCGGCCGAGGCGGCCAAAATGCCTACGTCTAGGTAAGTGCTAAAAAGATCATGTAAATTACCCATTAACACATCGCCATACGCATTTTTCGTATATAATCTCATTCAATTCCAGTTCTGCTCGCTCGATACGCTCACAATCTACCTCAAGGACTGGCCTTAATAGCCCTAGCCTAAAAAGTAAGATTCTACCTGAGTTCTAACTTTCTTTCACTAGCTCTAAAAGAAAACAGATACAATTCAGATTTTCCAACTCATTTTTTACTTTTTTTTGAGTGCTAAAACGTCTCCCTCCATTTTCAGCAGCTCCCAGCCTCCCAGCCACACCCAAGTTGACCCAGAAATACTCGAACGTCAGGAGGTGAGCATAAACGGACATTCCGAAATAGGGCAATTGACCCAGGCCATTCACTAGGCCGATCCGCCCCCCAAATTCACCCCCCAATGGCTGATTGTAATTGCAAGGCGTCCTAAGGAGTTAATCTGGAGTTGCGTGAGGGGTGAGCTGGACACTGGCAGACGCCGGATGACGGTGAATAGTGGGCGAAAGCGACAATTAGCTTATTCAAGGGCGGCGGGGCGTGCAGGAGTGGAAGCTGACAGCTTGTGGCAATCAATCATCCCTAGCGGATAGATTTAAGGCCAAGTTTTATTGGGGTGGGGGAGGTCCATTATTGGGTGCATAGGGTGGGGCATGAAATAAGGGTCGTAAAATGGAGATTGAGGTGGTTGTGAAATCGGGATCCCGAAGGAGAGTCATGCAGCGAGTCCTAAAAAGCCCTCCTTCAAGACGGCCGGATGAAGCTCGGGTTGAGACGATTTTTATACCATTCGAAGGCTTTGAAAACAGGGAGAAAACAAGCGCTTCCAGTTTGTGAAATTTTTTGCTAGCTTAATTTGCATTTTTAAGAGCTTTCGAGGGATACCTATATCACAAAATCGGACACTCCTCCTCCTCACTAGAAGGATATTTTTTGGGGCGCTCTATCGAAGCTTCGCAAGCCCATATACCTTTCATATCCCCTTTTCAGCCGCATCGACTCCAAAACAAGTCACACTCCCACCGGTGGCAACATCAAAATCTTCCACGAGCCCCAAAGATATGGTGTCGGCTCCCGGGTGGGCTCCCTCCAAAACGTACACCATCGCCCAGGTCCTTTTTCTTCCTACTCACGCAGTACTTATTTTTGCAGGAGGCGGCAACATCCGAGTCGAGACGGCCAAATTAAATTTCAAGGACGAGGCCCAGCCTCGGATAGACGCCCGCTCGGCCCATAAGCCCGCACCAAGCGAGAAAAAGGTTGGTCAAGCCCTGCGGGGGACTCGATTATAACATCGTAACCTCAGATCTTGACCCAGAAACTTCAATGGAATGTGCAGAGTAAGGTTGGGTCGTTGGATAACGCAACACATACACCGGGAGGTGGGAATGTCAAGGTATCAAGGAATATAGCGATTTACATTTAATGCATTTATCTAGATTTTCCATCAAAAAATCGACATCAACGCCGGCTCAAAAGTTGGATCGCTGGATAATGCAGCACATAACCCTGGTGGAGGGAATGTGAAAATATTCCATCAAAAAGTTGATGTGGCAAAGGCCGGCTCAAAAGTCGGCTCTTTGGATAATGCTGCTCATCAGGCTGGGGGTGGGAACGTCAAGGTTAGAAGCTTAGTTACTTGCAAACCTTTTTTTAGATTTTCCATCAAAAGATCGATCTCACAAATGCTGCTTCAAAAGTTGGCTCGATGGAAAATGCGGCTCACGTACCTGGTGGAGGCAATGTAAAGGTATCGCATGCAAAGTTGCAGATTTCATCGTCATTTTTAGATAGAAGACCGTAAATTGGACTTTTCGCGGAACGCCAGGTCCAAAATCGGATCGACTTCCTCGATCAGTGGATCAGCAACTTTATCAAGAGGGTTAGTTCATCAAATAAAGTGTATTATTCTCTTTAGATCGAGCGAACGCTCAATGCCTGGCGCTGTCGACCCCCTTCGAGCTGAACAAATCCTTGGCACTATCTAATAAGCATATTGTAAATAAATGGGGGTTCTGTCAACATGCTCTTACAAATCAATTTGCATCAGAAACAACAAACATTCGGTTCGAGAATCTGTGGCACGTGGTTATCGGGAGCCCCTAAGCCGATTAGTAGTCTCAAAAATTTGGGGTTTTGGGCGAATATGGCAAATTGGATGTATATTGGCTATGAAACAATTTTCGACTGTTGAAGATGCTATTTTAGATAGGTGAGGCTATTTGAATCCTGAAACTTTAGTTTTTCGCAATTTTTAGTGGTTATTTTGCATTTCGGGTGTATTATTTGTATCAGCAAACGGAGTGTCAGCCGGCTAGCAGTTCGGAAATCATGGAAAGGATAGAGCCAGAGGTTTGAAAGCGCTTAGTTTGCATACAATGATGTGTTAGTTGAATCCTGAATCTCTTCCTTACCTTCCTGGGATACCAATTGGCATTGAAGAAATGGAATTTCCTAAGAGGTGCATTTTTAATGCTTGATCTAACTGATAAAGTTTTAGCCGTCATCCATCTTTTGAAAGTTATCATAAATGGAGGATAGTTCGTGATAAAACCGACATTAATAGAGGTATCTGAGTTGAGTATCTCCTTAAAACGATCTAGGTATCCTACCCTTCAACGCCAAAGCCTATCGCCAGAGACGAATCTGCTACATCGCTATTTTTTGTGTCATTCTACTTGCAGTAATCATATTTCTGTTAATAATGCTGATTCGCGTTTGGAAATAAATTTATTTACACTATGTTCGATTACAGGGCAGTGTTTCGGGCAATGCATCTAAATTCCCTCGTCATAGTTTGGCTTTCCCTGGCGGTAGCCATCCAAAAAGGCTAGGGCAGTGTCGACGGGCATCAAATTCTGAGCTACCTGCAAAGATTCAAAACTTGTGATTGAAAATTGGTGGCTTACTTCTGGTCTTGCTAGCATCTCATTGAACCACTTTGTCAATTTCGGGAAGCGCTTGCTGCATGGGAAGTTCTAAAAAATCGGATTTTATCGAAAAACGAGAAAATTTACCGTTTTGTCATATCCAGTCACGCCCTCAATGTGGCTTGCCCACCAGGTCCTCTCGAGAAATGGGAAAGTCAAGTAGTCAGCATATGATGGCGATTTTCCTTGAAATCTACTGAAAAATTTCTCAAGCAGATTTACCTCCGAAGAAGGTATCCTTCAACAGATTCTCAGCATCGTCTAGGGCCTTATTCATAGTCGCCATTTTCTCCTCACGAAGGCCAGGATCTTTCAGGGCAGCGAGAGTACCGTAGAAAGCTGTGGAGATCTGAATATTTGGTATTTGAAATCTTTTCTATCGCTTACAGCAAGGTTGCGTTCTGCCAGAATCTTTTGATGGACCCTGTCATACGCATCTTTTGGCAGAATCGAATTCTCCGGCAGCAAATCATCGAGGAATTGTGGGATGAGGCTGGATTCGATTACGCACTAATGATTGATAATTATATTAGTTAATGTAATCTAGATACCTTTCCGTTGTATTCCAGGGTTGGGACCTTGCCTTGATAATGTTTCTCGAAGTACCATTCTGGCTTGTCTTGCAGATTGATGTTGACAATTTCAACGCTAAATAGAGGTAAGTTACTAACCTTAAGTTTTTTTCTAATTTGCAAAGCCTTTCCTACACTTTTTTATGCAATGCGCATTAAAGAAGGCGCTCACGATTAGGGTCAATGCCCTAATTTGATAAGAAAGTTTCGCTCAAACTTTCAGTCACCGTGGTGCCGCGAAAAATTCAATTACAGCGTTTGATGCAGATCTCTGCTACTTTGAAACGTACTCAATACCCTTGGCAGCAGCATAAAGCAAGGCTCTCTCGGCCCACGGGCAGAATCGCATGTTGTAGAGGCGGAATTTGCCTCTTTCCAGCTGGGCTGGCTCTGGGTCGCCTAGAGAAAAATTGCATGAATTTTAATAAAATAATTACCGGCTTTTAAAGCGGCTGAATTAAGTCCTTGCAGGGCCATCTTTGGTAAGCTAAAAGATATTGGATGTCATAAATGAGCAAAAAGCAAATCACAGATTCAAATCAGTGAAAAACTAATGAAAATAAGATATGATCAGAAGGTATTCACACTCAGGAACGGTCGAGGCAAGGATATTTTATAAAGATTAACAAAAAAACTACATATAGAGAACTTCAGACCTAACACAACATTTAGACCCAGAAATCGGCAGAGAAAAAATTCAAATTCAAATTCTCCGGGATAAAAACTTTAGAAAGTTATTTCGGAGTGATTGTTGGAGCGCTATATATACAGGAAATTGTAGGGAATGTGTATACGAGGGTCTTCTCGAAAGTTTCGCGATTCTGCGAGGGGGAAGGTAAGGCTTCGGTTGTTTTATGTAACCGCCACAACAATCACATACTCCATTGCAAAAGAACGTGGTTGTGAAGGGGGAGAGTGGAGGGAATGGAAAGGGGGGCTGTGCGTGTTTGTGTGCGTGGAGCCCTCGCCCGCCCAATATAAGTCTTTGGTCACAAACTATAGCCCGGTTTGCGGAAATGAGAAGAGGGGGGAAAGAACCACCCAGCAACCCGGATTCGAGAGAAAATAGAAAAACGACCAATGAATTTTAGGGGGGGGGGGGAGACTTACGCGATTTAGCAAGCTCCCTAGGGATGGATGGAAATGGAGTAGATATGAATTAGTAGATAGGTTGCTTCTAAAATGGTTACTTTGTAGTGAAGCCTAAAGGGTGTACCTTGTACCCACGTGATGATATCGAGGGCGGAAAAGGCAGAGAATTGCATAAAATTTGGGAAACCAGCGTAGGTCGATAATGTGGAATATGCAGCCCAAAGCATCCTGAAACAAATTGAGCATAAAAATTAAATAGAATCACTATTTAAAAAGCGGATTATGACAAGATTAACATGTATAAATAAAAATCTTCCCCGATGAAAATAGAGAAACCTCTTTTGAAATGCCGGTAATTACCGGCGGCGGATGGAGCAGGTGAAATTCACGGCAGACGAGAACCGAGAATTCGCTGCCGCAAATTCTCGGGTATTCCAAGTTGTCTGTCTTAAGTGGGGGTCTTACGAAGCCTGCCTTGACTGGTCATTAAACGATTTTTGCATTGCATCTAAAAATTGTTGCTGAAATGACACCTACGTGACCAAATTACATAGCCAATCTAACTAACAATAATTAATTCAGCATATACATACATCGTATAGACCGGAATTTCAGAATTTCGGTCTCTAACTCCGCTTTCCTCTGGATAAAACATGCAATGGACCGAAACTTCACGGACGTCTTGAGTTTTGTGTCGTACAGTGAGCCGAAGACGGGCGCGCTGCATCAAATATTTATTTGGTGGGGAGTTTTCCATATCCATTTCGTAAAATTTAGGTTGATCCTGATTGTTACCTGTATGGTCACATGCCTGATTTTGCTACGGTTATGCCATTGCGTCGGCGGGTATTGTCGTGATTTCCGGCCTCTTACGGACGTGGACCAGATACGCCGGAGATGTATGCTAATTTTGGAAATTTTTTGTTGAAAACCCAGCAGTTACAGTCAATAAAAACCAATTCAGATGAACGTCACTGGCAACAATTCGAACTTCTCGAAAACCCCCCATCGCCTCGTCGAGGCTCTTTCTCACATTACGACACTGAACTCCAACCTGTAACCAACCATATTTAAACATCCCCTTAAACAATAAAAACTTGCAACATACCGCTCCAATATACAAAGCACGGCATACAAGTAATAAGTGTTCTTTTCCCCCTCCCCAGCCTTTCACTAAGTATGGGCCTTGGGACCATAATTAGGCTACAATTTCTCGCCAGAAAACCCCCACCACGTCTCCCCTCATCGATCACATTGCTCTATTTACAACGATTTCCACGCTGTTCGCAACGTTTTCAAGATGTTTCCCTATTTCGAGCAATTGTTTGAGGTGACGATGGTGTTAGTCGCGTAAGTGAACGATAGAAAGAAAATGCTTTTGCTTAGCATTGTCAGCAGTATCTCCCTGTTTTTCTGTGTGAAAATGGTAATTACCTTCGGGAATGATTATGTGGAGGTATCAGGGCAAGACACAGAACCGGACGATTCAAATGGTTTGTTGTTTAGTTAGCAATAGTTCCCTATAATTCTATTTTAGTTGAAGATTTGACGGTCCCAGGGGAAGGAGGCCTGGAATGTGAGGCTTGTCGACGACATCGAAGGTTTGTATTTGATAACTCAGTCATTAAGATTTTTTAGGAACCAACGACGTGGAAAGGTTAGAAGGAGCCAATATTTGCATCCAAACCATGTTACCATCACCGTACCATGCGAGACTTGTAATTGTGTTCATGTATTTGTTGAGCAACGAGATATTCCGGCTTTGACCCGATCGAGCCTTCCATAAACTCCGGCCCAAACGAATTTCTGCACTATTTTTGATGCGATTTGAGATGCAAACACAAAAACTTTTTTCGAACTTTTCGGCATGCTATTTTAGATAGATGTTTTTCGACATATCATTATTTTCAAAGTCAATCATCAGAATTTCGGTTTGCATTCATTCGTACCTCCTTGAGACGCTGATTCAGAGGTGCTAACTGGCATAGCAGTACAACCGCGTATATGGTCGCTGCAATTTTTTGTAGTGTTGGCTTTTGGTGGTTTTGAGCAACAAAAATCCTATTAGAAACGACAAGTCGGAGGATACTATGATTTCTTTCTATTAAACAAAGCTCTCCGCATCAACGCTCATTATGCCTCAAAAACTGTTTATGCCTCAAAAACTGCTGCCAATATTCCTTCCCTACCTCTCGCAACCCTGAAGCAAGTGCTACGTGATGAGCAAACTGCCGATGTACGTGAAAAACAGGTCTTTATCCGTGGCTTGGCAGAAAATGATATTCCGGATCTGCAAAAAATTCAAGAAAAAATGCCAGATTCGCCCAATTCCAAAGCCCCTAAAAAGGTTTTTCGGCTAGGCGGCACTCGTCCGCCAGCAGCAACCTCTCCTCGTCCGGTAATTGCCGAATTCGATTCTCAGAAGGAAGCCCTGAACTTCCTCAAAAATTTCAACCAAGCCGTGGCTCCCACATCCGGAGTGATCGCTCGTCCCAACTATTCAGTGACGGATACACTTCTGTACAAACAGGCCTGGAAAGAGGCCATTCAGAGGAACAATCAAGAGAAGAAGGCGATCTGGACTGTGAGAAACTGCAAACTTGCCCGTCGCCAATATCCTCAGGGAACCGAACCGTCTCCTTGGACCGTTCGCACGCTCCAAAAGTCAAATTAGACTCGATTACCAAGTCTACTTCTCTTCGCACCCTATTCTTAAATGCCCGCTCTCTATTTCCTAAGCTTTCTACCCTAAATGCCCTTCTATTATTGAACCAATACGATATTGTTCTCATTACGGAAACCTGGCTCAAAGCCCAAATTCTGGACACTTTGCTTGTCCTTCCCGGCTATTCGATATTCAGACGTGATCGTGAAGGGCATGGAGGCGGCCTTGCCATAATCTTCCGCAGCCACCTCAAAATCGTAAATGTGAGTATTTCAACCAAGCTCGAAGTTCTATGTCTTGACATATTCTCAAAAAAGTCTAAACGTGATTTGAGGCTCATCCTTTGCTATCATCCCCAACACCATCAGCCTCTCCTACCCCTCATCGAGCTATTATGCAAACTATTAGCAAATTGTATTTCGCCTTATATTCTTCTAGGCGATTTTAACAGTCCTCATATTGACTGGGTCTCCGGGACAACGAAATGTTCAAATTGTCAGAATCTAATTCGATTTGCTGCTAAGTTCGGCCTTTCCCAATTGGTAACTGAGCCAACTCGCTTAAATAACATCCTGGACCTTGTATTTTCTCCTCTTCCGGGGCTCATTGAATCGCTGACCATCGCTGAGCCTTTCAGCGATCACCAGTCAATCGATTTCCATATTTTGCTTAGTCACCAGCGGCTCCCACCCCCCAGGCAAAGAGATTTCCGCCGTGCCCCCTTCGAAGAAATAAATCGGAGAATAGCGGGGATCAACTGGCTTTTTGAGTTCCGCCAGGGAGATGCTGAAAATCTGCAGAATAAATTGGACAATTATCTCCAAAATTTGGTCGAAGAATTAGTACCTTTCCGAAAACCACGAACCAGACCTTCTGGAAAAACTCTAGTCCTCCTAAAGCGAAAAAAGGCAATTTGGAAAATCGAAGGAAACAGTCCCAGTTACAAAAATGCTTGTAAGGACCTTGACACTGCCCTACGCCAAGAAAATGAACAAAAAGAGCTGGATTTTGTGGATAGGTCATCCGCTGCAGGTCGGATCGGAGCATTGAGGAAATTTTATGGTTACGTTCGGTCAAAGACTTCTACCGATAATGCAATTCCTCCACTCTTTATTAGTCAGCATGAGATGGCCGTGACTGATGCCGAAAAAGCTGATGCCCTTCAGTCACAATTTGCCTCAGTATTCACTACCAGCCCCGCCGTACCTTCCTATTTGCCCATAAGAACCAACAAATTACTATCGTTTGTCGATTTTAGCCCTCATATTATAGAGCGGACCATTGTCACCTCTCTTAAGCCCAAGTTCACCCAAACTGCTGACCCGGTGCCAGCATTCTTTGTAAAAGAATGTGCTGGTTCCCTATCCCTCCCCCTTTCTCTAATCTACAGCAGAAGCTTCCACACTGGCGCTGTGCCCTACAGCTGGAAAAAAGCTATAATTTGTCCCATATTTAAGAAAGGCAAGAAATCTGAACCCGTCAACTACCGTCCGATCTCTTTGACGAGCTCCTTCGGCAAAATCATGGAGAAGGTTGTTCGGAAGGCCTCTCTGAGTTCCTTGAAGATGAAAAACTCTTATCGAAGAACCAATTTGGTTTCTTGAAAGCTCGCTCGACAACTGCCCAGTTGCTAGTTCACCAGCACAATCTCTTAATATCTGATCAGAAAGGACTTTTTCTGATGTTTGCTATATCGACTTCGCGAAGGCATTCGATACCGTCTGCCATTCCCGGCTACTCCGAAAACTTTCCACCTACGGAATTGCGGACCCGCTTCTTGGCTGGATAAGAAACTGGCTAGTGGGTCGTTCACAAACCGTTCGAGTTGGTGATTCATACTCTATTCCTGCGCCAGTACTGTCTGGTGTTCCACAAGGATCCGTCCTCGGGCCCCTGCTTTTTATTCTATACATAAATGACCTAAATGATCCCCAACATCTACCGAATGGCTTACTCTTTGCGGACGATCTAAAGCTAATCTCCCATTTTTCCAACACTAGCCCATCTGATATGTCTGCTCAGCTGCTTAAGCTCGAGTCCTGGGTCTCGGAAAATCAGCTGACTCTCGCTGCCCCAAAGTGCTCTTCTGTACACTATGGCAGAAGAAATCCGAAGAACACTTATTCGCTAAATGGAAGCCCGCTCCCACAATCAAAATGCATTCGTGATCTGGGTGTCCTGCTATGCGATGACTTCAGCTGCTCGCCAAATGTGGTAGAGGTGACGAAAAAAGCAGCTCGCTGCTCCTTTCTTATTTTCAAAATTTTTCGTAGTAAAATTCCAAATTTGTATATAAAAGCATTTCTAGTTTATATCAGGCCTATAATCGAATATGCCTCAGTAGTTTCATCCCCTTGGCTCAGAAAAGATCAGATTGCTCTAGAAACAATTCAGAAAGACTTCATTCGACGTGTATGCTACCGGTGCCAAGTCCCGTACGTCTCCTATCGTTCGGCATGCACTCAATTCAATCTCGAACCATTGAACAATAGGAGGCTGACCGCGGATTTTCTTTTTCTATTTAATCTCCACAAGATTCCTTCTAATATTTCTGAAAATACTTTCTTCTCTGCCGCCCCCTCTCGAACTCGTGGACTTAAAACCAAAATTAGTCCTATTCTGGCTCCAAAAACCTCTGTGTCAAAAGCTTTTTTCTCCACTCGCGTAGCTGCTCTCTGGAATTCATTCCCCCAAACTGCCATTGATAGCCCGTCTAAGAAAGCCTTCAAAAATCATCTTTCCCGCCTTATCCCCGTCTCCTACCTACTGTGATCGTTCTCATCAATCTAGTCTCCTGTTCCATTCCCCTCTTCCACATCTTCAGAATCTTATTAATCCTAATTTCCCTTTATTTATCTATCCCCTCCTTCACCCTATTTACGCTCGATTCCTCATACTGTAAGCGTTGACTTTGTTAACCTTGTGTGAGAATAAATAAATAAATAAATAAAAAAAAATAAAATCAACCAGCTCCCTACAGAGGCCCGACCTGGACTCGTACGACGCGGAACTTGAAACTGAAAGGCTGATGCGGATCCAGGGCCTATCTGAGGCCATAGGGCATTTTCAACATAGGATTCAATTTGCATCTGAAAGAGCATGTCCAGTAGTGCCGAAAACAATTTTGTCTGAAACCCGAAAGGCCCTGCTATAATCGCTATGATTTTTTTGAAGGGCCCTCAACCGACCTTGTACCTTCCAAAGATTTTTCATAGGTTGCAATCGCGAAAACCCTAATCACGAAACCATGAATCGATCCCTTTCGAGAGAAACAGCTTACACACCTACACGTTTTCCAGAAGATAATTTGTGGATAACAATAGTGTGGGCAAGTTCAGAGCCCCAGTTTTCAGCCGGGTCGGTCCCCTCTTTGGGGGGTGACGAGGCATGTATTTGGGAGATAAGCCGCCCAGTAGCCATTTTCCGCTTTTATGCGCTTCTAAAAATGCCCCCACAAACCAGGGCGTCCCATTCGACCTCCGTTGCCACGGCGTTCATTTCCTGGTTATTGTCCGATCAGTCTCGATTCAAAATCAAGGCGCTACTTTTGAAAGAGTCTGCCACCGCCACGATTGATCGCTAATTTTTACGACTATTGACTCACAACATTTTGCTGTTCATACCTCCTTGAATTTGCATCATTTTTCGTTTCTATTTTTTTGGCATATTGGCTTTTAGGGTAAAAACCAGGTTTGAGAGCGGCAAGAATAATTTTTGATTCCGGATGTGGACAAGCACGTTGTCGCCCAGTACCTCAACCTATGATTACAAACGGTAACTTTCTAATATGCAATCGCTTTCATAACTTGCTCATCGTAGTTTCTTGCCCTTCCACATCCACGAAATCTCGCCAGACCTTGAAAATGTCACAATATTCGCGAATTGTACTGAGGATCAGAAGAAAACTATTTTCGACTATGACACCAGCAAGTTAGCGGTGAGTAATTTGAATTTTTAATCCCATTTTTTGCAAATGAACGGGTGCCGCCCGTTTTTTGCCTTTGCGATCTCAAGCTAGCCGAATGGCTATTAGGAAAGCTATAAAGATAGGCCGGAATTCCTGCCACCGGGTCGAACGCATGGCAGCTTTGTGTTTCGTTTGGGAGGGGGCAGGCAATGATAAAAAATCATGGAAGAAGGCTGGACGGAATGGAATCTATTAAAAAAATATAATTTAGTTGGTCGACACTACGCTACCAGTGCTATGTATTATCTTATCTATATTTTCCCTGATAATCAATATAATTTTCCTATTCTTGACGGTCAAGGGGCTTATGGAGAAGAAATTGCCTTTGAAGGTAAGGTTGAACCTCGTTTTTGTAAATTCCTTAGGGTTACTCATTACTGATCAATCGATCCGTCACCGATATTCTCACCTGCTTTTTGACGTTGATATTCGTATCTCTGCACAAGCTTGTATTTATTCAAGGGAATCCGGAGTATCCTACACAAGAGAGGTCAGTATTTTCAAAACAAAAACGAGAGAATCGATTTATCTAGGAATATTAGCATTTATGAGGTGGATTATTTGATTCCGCACGGGAGAACGATGTTTACGTTATTGTTGACAGCCAATTTTTGGTCTGCAGCAGGTTTACCAAAAAATATGTTTAAAGTCGATGATGTTTAGGAGCTTATGGTGTTCTGGCTTTACTGACCTATCTGGCAATTCGGCATCCATGGCTGTATATGGCGAAGATATCGGCAAGAAGGATTAGTAAGTATAAAAAGGGTTGATTTAACAATTATTTGAACTACGAAACAAGCTTGAAAAGGGGATCAGGTATTTTAATCAATTCTGTATGCAAATTTCACTACTGCTCAGGCGTCTCGCACTCCAAATCCATAATCCATCGATTGATTTTTCCGGATCCGTCTCGACCAATTAGAGCCCCCCGTAATTTCTCCCCTCAACACCCCAACAAGGCGCTTCTTTTTGGGAATTATCACGCTGTGACCACTTCTATTCCACCAGCGCTGGGTGGTCGTAAAAGTCCCCGGGTTTGCCGGGATGGGATGAATGAAGAAATCACAGTCCCCGCCGCCGGGCCCTGACGTGTTTTTCCCACGGATGAGGTGTTGATTTTTGGATTCTGTTCTTTGGGAAATACAGAAAAATGTTGGGGATGAGGTGCAAGAGATAAAATAAAAAATTCGAGAAATGGGGTCAGGGCGTAGCTAGAAAAAATGTTCGGGGGCCCCCAAAACATTTTTCCAAAAAACCCATAACATTGCCTAAAAAACAGCGCCGCAGGCAAAAATTTTTGAAAAAAGGTTTTATAGCTCTACAAATAGCCGTAAAAACGTGAAAAAAAAATAGCGCCGCAGGCAGCAAAATTTTTGAGAAAATAAAAATCGTAAGGGTCCCCCTTATGAAATTTTCGGGGCCCGGCCGATTTCGGGGGCCCGGGTCCCCGGGGCCTGTATTACGCTACGTCCCTGAATGGGGTAACAGTCGGGCGGACATCAGAATCACACCAATTTTCCTCCTACGATCTCCAAAGAACTGCTTATTTTTAAAACAAAACAAAAAAAAGAAAAACGAAACTTCCTTCTATAAAAAGATTGACTGAAGCTCTAAGTGCCAAACAATTTCCCATTTTTCTATTTCAGTCTACATCATGCTCGGCGTCTGGGCGGTCGGCCTCATCTACTCCGTAATCGTCGTCTGCATCTCGGCCAACAACGCCTTTAACGTGTTCAACGATGCAAAAGATTTGATCCGTTGGAACGTTTCGAGTGAGGTTTGCACTGATCAACCGATTTTGTCTTATATTCAGTATCTCTAAATTCCAAGGTAAACAGTTTTTTTCAGGATTACGTACTTTCAATCTTCAACCTTTTCATCGTGTTGGTGTCATTTCTGATAGTGACCGTATCTTACGCTGCGATTATGGTCTATCTATATCGGAAAAGTAATGAATCTGGTAGTTTGGCTAATTTTTACAAGTGTAGGCCGATTTTAGGGAACGCTTCGCTGCATTTGATGTCAATTGGAAGATTGGCTTTAAATATTTTTGCGTTTTCGATTACTTGCATCGTGATGGCGGGCTTCGTATCGATTCCGATCATACTGAAGAGTCATATTGACTATTTAATTGCTGAAATTCAGGTGACACTCACTCTCATCTAACTTATCCATAATTTTTTAGGAATCGCAATGCAAAACCCTGGTAGCGGCCTATCAATTATCATATCAAATGGCCGAATGGACAACGGGTATTTTTAATACACTATTTACATAACATTCTTTCTAGCGGCAATGGTCGGGTGGCTCCTCCGGATGATAATGGATCCATTGGCAAATTTGCTGCTCGATACCCGATTTAAGCTGATTTATGGGCCCTGGTTTGTTATGTTCGACATGACACCAAGGAAAACGAGATCGAAGGTCGCTACAGAATTTCTACAGTAAGCTTCAACCCAAGATCTAATCGAAATAGCTTTTTTAGAAAATGCGCTGAAGCAAATATCATGCCGATATCGATAATTTCCGGGGAAGGCCGGTACTTCCGCTTTAGAAGTTCATCGGTTGAAGAGGGCGGGCGAGTAGGTCTTTAACTATCTAAACAATTCTATAGCTTAGTAGAAAACCATTCATCATAATTTTAGTCGCGACGAATGCAGAACGTACGTCGATTTGAACACGTCATACCGCTAAAAGAACGGGTGCTATAAGCCGCCAACATCAAATCATGAAACTACGGGTCGTTTCCCGAGCGAAGCCATCGATTTACCATATCAGACATGTGCTCGGGCTCAAGAATAAAATATTATTGCCTTGCCGTCATCCGCTTCTCTCTATCTTTCAGTAGCCCGAGACACGATTAGTGAAGTGTGGGCATGCGATTTTAAATGTGGCGCGACGATGAAAAATGGGACACATGTTGATCGGTGGAGGAAGAGAGGAGAGCGACATATGGGAGGGTTGGCTATTTGAATAGGCGGCTTGAAGCTATCGGTTTTTTGGTGGTTTTGAAGGGCAAATCGGTTGCACATCTGTAGTCGCGACATTTGAGGTGACTGGCATTTGATGGGGCTGAAGGAGACGCGAAGAAGGGGTTGGAATTTCAAGGTAAGGGCTACTTCTGTTAGAGAGGGATGGAGGGAGAGGGAGAGAGAGCGTGAGAGAGAGAGCGAGAGAGAGATACCGAGGAAAACGAGATAGAGGGAGATAGCGAGATAGGTAGAGAGAATGAGCTAGAAGAGAATAATATAGAAAAATGAGCAAGAGTGGGCGAGAGAAAGAACTGTCTCTTTTCAGCTAACAAAGCATTGAAAGCTCTAATAATTTATCAGAATGCACTAGAAGTATGAAACTATGGAAATAACATGGCATACCGTATCCCAAGATTTTTCTAGTTCGCCAACAAACTTTTTGTCGAAAACAACAATTCCAAATCACACAGCTCCAATTCATTTCAACCCTAATTCCCCTCCCCAGCACCCCATTTCGGACTCGTTCCCAATCTTCGGCTCAACACAACTGTCAACCAACCCGGTTAATGCCCTCTCCGGGGGTGAACGGTTTTTGAAAAATGGGCGCGCCGTCCGCGAGCCTTCTGGTGTACGCAACATATGCTACAACCGACCAACCCGTCCGGGACACAACTTTGAACGGGGCCGGCCGATTGATGGGCGACGATTAATTCTGAGGGGAGGGCGCGCGGAGAGGTGGCTGAGAGGAGGGAGAGAGGGCAGGGGGAGGAGGAGGAGCAGGAGGACGTTCGTCCCCAACCCGGTCGTCGGGGACAAAAACTCGGCAACGGCGCTGAATACCGTAGAGAATTTAGGGATTTGGGGACGGGAGTCGGGATGTGATGCTAGGGCAAGCATGCGAACGAGTATCAGAATGCTAATTGGCTTAGTCTGCAGCTTCCAGGGCTGCTTGGTGCGCGCTTTTGCCAACGCGTGCAATTTGCGTTATGAGTTTCGGAATCTATATGCAAAACTACGGCCGAAAAATGTCGCCGAATAATCTTTGGAAGGCTAGAGAAAGCAAAGAAATTCGAGCTTTTTACGCTGAACTTTTTCGAACATTGAGGGAGGTCAACCATGGAAATCGGCCATATCGGGAGGCTTAGGCTTAGGCTTAGGCTTAGGCTTAGGCTTAGGCTTAGGCTTAGGCTTAGGCTTAGGCTTAGGCTACTCCTGGGAAAGGCTATCGGCTAGGATCCAAATTTCTATACAACCTGACAGTGAGCCAGATGGGTGTCGCGTCGGTGTCCAAAGGGTCACCTTAGCTTTTGGATGGTTTTCGCCATGCTAAATGATACCAAAAATTTGGTGATTTGCAAGGATAAAGAAGGCGCGTAGAGGTCGGCAATGCCCTAGCGGGGTTTGAGGTTTTGGGCCACATCGTGTGTTGTGGTGTCAAGTGGAGTGGGCCCTCTATCTGAATGACAACAGCATGACAGAGCCATTTGTCTTCCCCTCGCAGCCCCGCTACATCCCACTCCCTACCAACAGATTCCAACCCATTCAATGTACTTCCCGATATTGGCTTGCTAGAAGGAGGGCTAGTTTTAACAAATTTGAGCATCAGCTGCGGAGCCGCGGCGACCTGGTGGTTTTTTGGCATTGATTGACTCTCGGTGGTTCATTTTGTAGTTTTCTTTAGCTGATCGAGGCTGTTTTAACTGAAATTTTGATGTAAACTTTTTCATTGACCTCTTGCTTATTTACCGTACTCCTCAACTCTTCTCTTTCGGGTCCCGATTTCGTCTGCCCCGCCGCCACCTGCCGCCTCATTTATCTGCCAGGTGTTGCATGCTTCGGGACTGCGACTCAAAAGTGCAAATCGCTTAGACTTTCCTAGCGACACGGTACTTCATCTATTCCACACCTTGTGCTCTTGGAAGGGATAGTGCCGAGATTCTATCGGGTGGTGTTGCCTCTTTCAACTGTTCGCAACAGGACCGATCTTGGCTTGGCTAGGTTGGAGATACGGTGTGGGGGAAGGGGGACCTCATAGGCATGCCGTGGGTTCATTTGCTAGTTTTTCGACAAACCAGGGTAAGCTACAGTAGCCCGTAGACAATTTGGAAACATTTTTCAGCGCCTAAAATCTGTTCCTTTCGACTGTTACCTTAATGAAGCCGTGTCTCTAGGACATAGGAGCTTATACTTTGTATCTTAACAGCCGAGCTAAAGTCTTTGAGGAAAACAGAGCCCATGTTAGTGATAGGCTTGAATGATGTAACATACTATAAATAGTAATAGTAAAAGAAATTATTGATTTTTTGTAAAGAGCGCAGAGACCGTATTAAACCATGTCCTCCCTAATGTATTTTTATACCCGGGGCCTTGTCAAACTGCTTTCTTAGTACCTTCAGGGTCAATAAATCTTTGTTGTTCTACTGCTTTAGTCCCTCGTAAGCTTCATAAAACTAGCCCGGGTGCTGCGGTTTTTCGATTCATTCCAGACTTACGCTCTGCCTCTTTACTTCCCGTTCTCCGATTTCCGCTTCTCGCCCCAGATCCAGAAAAAGCGGATCGCTAGGGGCCCACGGCAGATACGGTGATGCAGGGCCCCGCGGACCTTTTTCGCAGGACAGCGGCCCAGGGCCCTTTGAAGTATGCCGGGGGCCATCAGTATCAGCCGATGGGTGGGCCCCCGACCCCGGCGGGTATCATCCATTTCCCCATTCCTTGTCAAGTCTACCGTATCCCATCTCTGCATAGCTGTGGAGGGCTACCCGCTGGGCAGCCGCCAGCATCGGGACAAAAGCCGTTGCCCGCAAGTTCGCAAAGACTTACCAGGGTTGCAGGTTCATTGCAGGAATGTGGGGGAGATAGTTTTGGGTCGGGTTTGAAAGGTTAACTAAAGTTTTTTGATCGCGCTACGCCCTCGTTCATGCGCTGCCACTTCGGCGTCACTTGGAAGGATCCTCGTAGCCTGGACTCTGAAGATTCCAAGGATTTAAAAGACCGTTTGCGATGGGACCGAAAAATGCTTAGCAGTGTCCTGTTTTTTGACGCCATCTGATAGAGCATGGTCGAATAGGGCCGCATGTTTTGAAAGTTTAAAAAATTTATTTTGATGGTTCAAATAAGTATCAAAGATGCGAAACCGGAAAAATTATCTCGAAAGTTATTGAATCAAATTGGCTGGGAATTTGTGAATATAATAATTTTCGGATTAAGATTATAAGGTACCTTAAGCGCCAGATCCTTAGTTCCCTTTAAGGAAGGCCCTATTTTTGAATTGCTAGCTTTTGCAGAAATTGTCGTTTCACAAGCCCAGCATGTGATACCTGAGACTGGCAAAGTTCGAACAACCACCCCAATCTTGCATCCACGTCAAAGACGTCGGCTCCCGGAAATCGCCGACCGATTTATCACTTCTCCGATTTCGACGCTTTTTTATGCGAAATACAGTAGTACCGTTACACCGGCCGTCTGGGTGGGGAGGCGGATTTTTATTTCTACTGCAGGGAGTTCAGGAGATCTACGGGATTAAATCAGGGGAAAAATGCGTGTGAAAAATGTCTTATCAGTATTTTTTACAGGTTATCGGGATACTTTCGCTTTTATGATAGTCTGACATTAGAAGGGTTATTCAGTTTTAGTTAGAGAAATTATAGTGAAAGTTCGTTTGCTTTTGACCTTTCAGCCTTTAGGTATTATTGAAAAATTAGGCAACCTGAGCGTCATTTAAAAAAGAAGGTGAGCCCCGCATGGTTTAAGACAACTTATGAAAAATGCTTCAATATTCAAATCTGGTTATATCTCTCCCATAGCTTTATCTCAACCCTACAACTAGTTGAATAATGACTTTATGGCCAACCCCTCATCCCCTTACGATCGGCCAACAATTTACAACAACAACGGCAAAATAACAGAAGGCGTCGAGCATTGAGGAGCAAGAGGTGACAGTCACGCAAAGGCAATCCCATCCCATCTCCAATCGATTCATTTCGTGGGTTGCCCTGCCCAGCCATTTGGTGGTTGGGTACCGTAGGTGCGGCCCCGCCCTCTTGCTCCCCTCCCCGTCTTCCGTGGCCGACCACGAAATTGCTGCTCTCCATCTTCAAAATGGTCCCGTATCAATCAGACATGGAGGGCCACCAACCGGCGCCATTGCCGTTTACCCATTCGCCAATTTACCTTAACGTTCTCAAAGCATCCTTGACGTCATCTATGCACATATTTGAGTTGGAGCATAGTCTATTCCTAGTATATAATATTTCATGAGTAGGGGGCAGATTTCTAGCATAAGTGGCAATGTATTGCGCTACTTAAAACTTTAAGCGCCCAGCCGTTGTATTTTTTAATTTTTGAAAACAGAGAACTTTGCCAAATGTTTCAAAGGTACAGGCTTCTAAGCGTTTTAGATTTCCTTTGGTTATGCTAAGCCTAGGTTTTTGCTAGGCAACCGTGTTCATAAAGCGCTGAAAAAGTTAAGAATCACGTGCTCAAGTATCAGCTGTTGCAAACAGCAACTTCTGAAATAGAACTTTTATAACCTGATTGTTTCTTCTAAAATTTTCCATTGACATCACTTCCTTAGATAAATGTTGTTGATGATTGTCAAGCGCTAATTAATTCATTACTACCACTAACTAGTAGAACACAATGCAAACTTGGGGAGGATCCGATCTTCATGTGCAAATTTTTGCGATACAAACTATTATTCAAATAAGCCCTTGCAGTTTGATGTTCAATCACTTAGG